ATTCTGCATGCCCCACAAACCTGAGAGATTTGCACTTTATTTTGATAGTAGAACCATCTGAATTAATTGGTATTAAATTGCATAGTCAACATTAAAGTGGTCTTTGTTTCATTGGCTTTTCTTGAGACTAACAATTGCTGTGACAAGTGGATGAATAGTCAGTAGTAAGCGGACTCTGTCATTGCCACCTTGCCTGTTCCACAGGAAATGATCTTAAACAGCATTATGGGTCAACGGATCATAAATCTTCAGGAGAAAATTGGCAGCTGTCTTCAAGGAAAGATGATGGTAGTTTTAACAATTGTGATTAAACCCTTGAGGTAACAATGTCATGGGAAAGGAAGGGGGGAAGATGAGGGAGAATCCACAAGGAATTGTCTCAAAGCCCAAGCATCATTGAGTTTGACTTCTCACTACTAATGGGACTTTGATAAAGAATAAAGAGCTAAGAGTTAATGGTAAAATGAGCATCAAATAATTGACAGAGGGTAACTCATTAAAGGAACTGCCGTGTTCTCCTCCCATAGCTGTGTCTGAGAGCCAGTACAGGGAGCATGATGCCCCAACTTTTTTTCTCCATTTTGTTTCATTTTTTTCTTCCCTCCTTCCTGCAATTTTTTTTAAATTTCCCTCTATTTCCTTGTCAATTGTACGTATAATCTGCAATGTGGCCTGAATAATATTCCTCCCTAATGGGGAATTCAAATCCCTCCTCCCCAAAACCAAATATACTGTATTTGAAATCTCATCCCAGTCTTAGTTGGGATGTCTTAGTCGGGTCCAGATCCCTGACTCTCCAGTGCCTTGGAACGTCCTCTTTGTGGTTGTTGTAGTTGTAGCATATTACTCCTTGCCTATAAATTAGCATTCTAAATTACATGTAAGTGTATTTATTTTCAGATCATCGTATTCTTTTTCTGATTGTGTCCTTAAGATACATCTGCCTTCTAAATCTGGTTGACATTAAGGCACCTTCCCCCACTGTCCTGTATCCTGACGGCACTATCGCAAAGAAACATAGAGATCATCTCCCCTGCTTCTATTTCCCCCTCTTTCAATTTCACCCCAAATTCAAATACATTGGCTACTTATCTCATTGTTGTTTGTATCATAGAATCGTACAGCACAAAAAGGGCGTTGTAGGGCGTTGCTGGGCACAAAGTAGCTGCTGTTCCCGTCTCCATAGCAACGTTCACTTCATTTCTCCTTAATCCCATTTTGGAAACTGCTTCAAGATGTTTCTTTTATGTGGCGATGCCATACAAATGTGGGCCATTATTGTTGATGTTGCAAAATGGTGTGGGGTGGTTCCAAAGCGAGTGATTTATACAGTATGGGCAATAACATGCAAATGTTGAATATTGTGAAAGAAAAAGGGAAAATGCTGAAAACATATAAGTTGTGGATCAGAAACAGAAGGGCAGGTTAGCTATTTTGGTTGAGACATGGCACCACGCCAGCAGTATTACCTTATCTTCATCTTTCAGATTCTGATCAACTTGAAGCATTTTCATTTTCAATGTGTTATATGAACTCTCTTAGTTGAACTGGATCCAAGGTGACATGCCTGGCAGTGGAATGTCAGAATCGAGCCAGCCCTCTGTGTAGGGTGGTCCTAGCTAGACAAGCAGCGGGAAAGTCTGCCAGACAGCAGTATCAAAGGCAAGCTATGCGGTTTTAGTTGGTTAGCCTCAAGCAATACCCTAACACACACTCTGTGGTCCTCAAGCCCTGGCTGTTGCCAACCTGCACCTAATATTTTCCGGAATTAGATAAGCAGGATGTGACCCTCCAGGGAGAGTGTGTATTCCATTCCAAAAATCTATCTCTGGGATTTCCAAGGGTAGGTGGGATGCAAGGAAAAATCTGCTTGATTTGAATACTCTTACACCTTCTGATGGGTATCTACATGTGTCAGGCTCCTGGCTGACCAAACAAAATTGAACTCTGTGAGGGATGCAGTCTTAGTAAGACTGCATATTGTATCAGAGAGGAAAGTTGGCTGTGCTAATTCAATTCAGAACACCTCGAAAAGGTGTGCTTACTTTCTACTCACAGTGTAAAACTTGTCTACTGATTGTTTTTAATCAGCACTCCGAAATGTTATCGCACATAAGCTATATAAATGCAAGTGATTGTTGTTCTTTTAAGAGATAATCTGTTGTATGGCTGTGACATTACTTTTGTTTGATCAAATGCATTCACACACCTGATAATAATCAAGAAAAAAAACAATAATAAATTGGTCATTTCAATCCACGACTGTTTGTGGGACACTGCTGTGTGCAATTGGCTGCCACATTTTGCCCACAAATATACATACAGTCAATTAACTTTACTGTCTATTCTGTGAAGTGCTTTGAGACATCTCGAAGACGTGAAAAGCGCTATATCAAATGCAAGGATTATTATTATTATTATTATGCTGCACTGACATCAAATTGTGCAACATGCACTGTAGCACCCAATACTACTGATTCACATTGTCTGAGCCTTAAGATTAACTTACTGTTTAATATCGAGCAGTATTTAGAAAACTATTAAATTCAGTCTTAATTTGGATGCCAATTTACCGCAATTCATTTTTAAGAGCTCGGAAAAAAGCTTCAAAATTAAAGGCTGAAGTGAACAATTTTCCAAAAAATGCACAATCATCAATTTTAAGATCATGGTCTTAAAGCTAACACTGTTAAAAAGTTCTGGCCTCAGGTTCTCTAATGAGGGTGATGTGACCTTTTATTGAAATAAAAGTCCTACATGTGACTTTTATTGAAATAAAAGCCCTACCTCACAAACCGCCAGCAGTACATCTGTATAAATGGCTTCTCCTCCCCCTCTCAACCTGTGGGGTATCCCAAGGGTCCATCCTTGGCCCCCTCCTCTTTCTGATCTACATACTCCCTCTTGGGGATGTCATCCGCAGACATGGGGTACACTTCCACATGTATGCAGATGACACCCAACTCTACTTTTCCACCTCTATTTGCGACCCCGAGTCCCCTGATGTTCTGTCAGCCTGTCAGACCTCAGGAGCTGGATGAGAGCAAACTTCTTTCAGCTGAACGTTGACAAGACGGAAGCCATACTCTTCAGCTCTCGTCAACGTCTAAAATCTCACGGTTCTCATCTCCTCCACCAACCTGACCTCCACCTAAATCTCTCCGAATCCATACGCAACCTAGGCATCAGTTTCGACCCCAATTATCCTTCCTCCCCCACATCTGGTCCCTCACCAGCATCGCTTTCTTCCACCTCCCGACGCATCACCCGTCTCTGCCAATACCTCTCCCCAAAAGCCGCTGAAGCTCTGGTCCATACATTTGTCACCTCCCGGCTGGACTTTTCAAATGCCCTCCTCACTGGTCCCCCATCCACTACCATCCATAAAATCCAACTCATTCAGAACTCTGCCGCCCGCATTCTCACCCGCTCCGCTCCCCAATTACCCCAGTCCTCGCCAGACTGCACTGACTGCCTATCCCAGAGAGGATCGATTTCAAGATCCTCACCCTCGTACTCAACTTCCTGAACTCCTCTGCACCCCCCTACCTCTCTGACCTCCTCTCTCCTCAGCACAGTACCTGTTGCCTTCGTTCCTCCGGATCTGGCCTCCTCCTCGTCCCCCAAGTCCTCCGCTCACCCTTGGTGGCCGTGCCTTCAGCCATTATGCTCCGAGGCTCTGGAACTGCCTTCCTCACTCCCTTCGTCTCGCTCCTTCCCTTCCCATTTTCAGGTCTCTGCTGAAGACCTTTCTTTTCGACCGCGCCTTTGGTCACCTTCCCATCCCTCCCACTGGCTCGGTCCCGGGATCCGAAACTGTAAAGCGCTCTGTTGTTATTGTTGTTGTTGAATTAGTGGTAAAACAAAATGTCCACAACAGAATGCTTTAAAGTTTTTACTGAGTACTTAAACTAAGAGAAAGGTTCGAGGATAGCACAGCTATCATTTACATGCAGGCATAATTGTCTATCTGTCTCCTTTTCTACTTTAACAGCTGAAACATTATGCCTCAACAACAACAAGATTACATTTGTATAGCGCCTTTCACGTCGGGAGGATGTCACAAGGCGCTGGACAGTGTTATTCAGAGTCCACAAATGTTCATTACTTCTTTGATGTTTCTCTTTTTTCTCCTCAAAATCCTTTTGCACCATCCTGCACAATGTTCTTGCTCCTTACATTCTCACTTTGTTTAAATCAATACTTATAACCCTGTCTGCTACTCCAGTCCATTCTTTCTCAAGACTGCAGCATTCTTTACCTCCTTCTGTCTTCCTTTTTTCCAACAATCTACTGACTTTTAAAACCCATGTTTGCCATCACTTAAGCACTTGTTCTTGAATTATCGCACTGTCTCCTATTTCTTCCAACCATGACTCTGTCCTGCACTATCAACCCCAGCCCTTCAAATAGGTACCTCATTGATAAACAAATAAGTTAATGCACATAGCAAACAATTGGTATTCGTGGCATAGAATTCTCACCCAAAGAAATATATTTTCCTTATTACAGCAATAGATATCTGAATGTCCTTCCCCTGACCCCCTCTCACAAGAAAATAAAGAAAAAAGCACTTGCAAACTAAAGAGGAAAATAGCACAACTTTAAGATGGAGATTACAGGGAAAGAAAAGCACATTTCAGGCAACAAACCCAACCCTGTCCTGTGTTCTTTCTATGAGAATAATCTACAACTATTTTTGTTGCCTCAATTTAAATAAATTTACATAATTTTCTTTCAAAACCAAACCACTGTTATTTTGCACTGTGTTGAACAATATTATCTTCTGCTACTTGCACTTTAATTTAAATTCCTATTATGGGTTGTAAACATTAACAAGCTCTGTCTTGAATATTCATGAGCTTCTCAGATAAAGACAATAGGAAGTTTTTTTTATAGAATGAAACTTCAAGGATCTGGGGCTGATTAGGATTTGGCATTTTGATTTCAGTCTGAGAGTATGTTTATCTAGCACTCATTGACATTGTTTGTCCAAACAGCCCCCTCGCAGGTTACCGGTGTATTGAAGGATAGAGTGCAGCAGAGGAATGTCAATCTCTCCTGGAAGGAACCGGAGCATCCGAACGGAGTCATCACGGAATATGAAATCAAGTACTACGAAAAGGTGAGGGCCTCCACTGGCACACGCACAGCTGCACACAAACTCACTCAACCAAACTCAGCCAACAAAGCTCGTGAGGCTTCCTGGTGTCTGGTGCAAAAATGTTTGCAGTATTTTATTTTGGTAAAAGGCTGGTGTTGTTATAAAAGGTAGTTTTTTGGGCAAACTTGATACCTGCACTGCCAGGAATAAGGGACACTTTAATTTGCTTGTACTCTCTGGGTTTAGGTAAGCAGAATGTGTCCCTCCAGGGAGAGAGTGCACATTCCATTCCAAGTTCACCTGGGTTCAATTCCAGGCAGGGCGAAACCTTGGGCAAGTTTCCTTACTCCACATGCCTAACAATAATCCCTCCAAAACAAAAAAATAATACATTGGTCATTTTCAATCCACAACTGTTTGTGGGACACTGCTGTGCGCAATTGGCTGCCGCGTTTCGCCCACAAATATATACAGTCAATTCACTTTACAGTATATTCTGTGAAGCTCTTTGAGATGTCTAGAAGACGTGAAAAGCGCCATATCAAATGCAAGGATTATTATTATTAATACATGGGAATTTCTATGTGTAGGTGGCATCTATGGAACTCTAGTTGGCTTTAGATACCACCTAATGGTGTTGTTCTACAACGAGGGTACAGGCCACGTACAACTACTGTAAAGTGAACTCTTACAGCAATGGTTGCCGTATTCTCCTTAGTTTTGATCAAATTATCATTTACAAAATAGAGCGATCAGACCAGAAACTATTAGAATTGATGGTTTAGTCACTGAGCTCCCCTCTGCATACTAATCCTGCAAAAAATGTCTGTTGAAACACTTTACAACAGTAAACCTCAACCTTCCCCACCCAGCACACACACCACCCCTCTCTAAACAGAGGAGGTAAAGGGCTTTCAGCACAAGTTGATGTCAAGTGACTAAACTAACTATTCACCACATGAAAATGAAAAACAACAACAAAATTTCAATTTGTATAAAATCAAGATGACAAAGCCTTCTTTTGCCTGAATAAACAGGAAAATGCAATGCCTGATACAAGCCCTTGCTGTTATTGTGTTTGAGGAGTAAATTCTGCTGAAAGTGGCTCCCACAGTTAGCTTTTACTTAGTTAGTATTTACTCCTATCACTGATGAGGATTAAAATAATGCCCAACTGTGGACGTTGATGTAAACTCAGCTGTGAAGCAGAGTGTTTCCACCAGACAGCGGTGCATAGCCCACTGTGAAACTCCCAAACAAACAGGCTACTGGTAAAGTAATGGGTTAACATGGGACTGCTTTCTCTTCTGTGTGATGTGAAGGTATCCATTGGAGTGTCACCCCTGCATTAATTATATTAGCGTTTTATTCTGATAATCTGATATATGTCCAAGATAGTACAGGAGCAGAGGTGTGACACACTGAGCAAAACAAATCACTTAGCACACAATCGATGCAAGAAACAAGTGTGCTAATAACAGCAGGAAACATCCTGTCAATTCCAGAATCCATTTTTTTTCTGTTTATGTAACAGCTGGGAGCTTTTTAAAAAGAAGACTTAATTCTTTCTAAAAAAAAATTAGCTCTTGTTTTTCATAAAATTCCCCAATGCAAAGCATCCTCCCATGTAACATGTCTCATGTTTTCATTGCAGATATCATTGTATATGTCAATTATTTCCCCCCATATTTTGTCTATCAACATCTCCAGATTTCCCTTTGTGTATTTGTTCAAAAACTATTGGCAACATTATGCTGGAGACGAGTGGTAAAGCCCAATGCTGGGCAGGAAATGGCAGCAGCCACTAACCTTGTTTTTTTCTTGATGCCCACAGTAAGAAAAATATGTATTTAAATTTGTTAGCAATTCTTAAAATGTTTTTATACTTTAATCATAAAGGTCCATTAATTAATCATCAGGTAATGAAAATGTGTTTGGACCAACAAAACGTATAAACTGATACAGTTTTGTGGAGGATAAAGAAGCCTGCCACTGCCCCCCACCACACACATACAAAATGGTCCATGCCCACATTGGTTTTAACATTCACATGGTTAGACCCTTGGAGAGAGAGAGAGAGAGAGAATGAAAGAGGTCTTTTGGCACATATGATCTCACCTTTCCAGAATACCCAACCTTCTGCCCTGTCACAGCAGCAAGTTGTTTCTTAAAGGAATTCTGGCCATAACCACACTTTCCGGTGACTTCTTCCAGCCATTATGAATTAAGTATTGATTATTAAGTAAGAATTAAATCATTAATTATACAGAAATAATTTCTGGTGTTTGTCATGAAATTACTGTTTTGAAACCCTGAACTTGTGTCCTCTTGTTCTGCTGCTTTGGCATATCTGAGCAGGAAAGATTTATTGTCACAGCCTAATAGTGTGATAGGAGCTCCATGCTAGGTTTTCTTGCTGCACCAACATCTGTAAAGACAAAGTTAGGAGCGGACACCAATTTCTCCGAACGATTCATAATCCACTGACATGTGAGCACTCTCCTAATGGATCAATGGATATGCCAGCTCTACCTGGGTTTGTTGCTCACAAAGAAGGGACTCCACTATGACTACAGTCTGGCCCTCACTGCACAACTCAGCACAGCTCTGATTCCACCACAATTTTTATTCATGTTCAACAAAATACATTGCCAGTAATTGCGCAGAGAGGAAACCCTTCCAAGTCACAATAAAAACTCTTCAGAGCTGGTGCCTCCATTACCATGCATTAAATAGGCCGCAATCATGATACAGGAATTGGCCAGGCTGATATCAGTTCATTAATACCACATCTGTGCAACAGAAAATTGGTATCTAAACTTTTAGGCAGTAACTAATTGGATTTAATGGGCGGTTACTGCCCAATAACACCACTAACGGCCCCCCAGGGAATAATTCCACCCTTGGGACAGATTACTGCTAACCCTCTCTCGACTGCAGTATATGGCTGTTCTCACTAAGTGGAAGTGGAAAAAAATATTTGCTTTGAAATCTGTTTATGCCGTGCAGATGAAATGATAAAAATGCATTTGCGGAGGAAACAGAATTGTTTGAATGGAGTTCTTTATATTATGTATAAGCTTAACATGAGCTGTTTGTAGCCTTGGGTTTACTTATAAAAAAGTTTAATCTTTTGAGAAATGCAAGTGAATTAAAATAATGGAATGGGACAGATTTTAGGAGCTTAATTTAACAAAAGAAAATGACACTGCATATAGAAAATTATAGATATCAGAAAGTAAGATCAGAATTTTAATCCAATAGATGATGGAATGAGTTATTCAATAGACATATGGAGGGAGTTACAAGACTAACTCAATAAGTATGCAGAGTGAGCTACAAGTCTGTAATTCAGTAGATATATAAATGCAAATAGTCATAGGTAACACAGTGTGGTGCGTATCTGTGATTCAGTGGATAACACAGAGTGATTAACTCCGTGAAAGTCAAGTTACACCCAGTGAGACAGAAGACTAATTCAATTGATACACAAAGTGAGTTACTAGTCTGTAATTCAGTGTATAACAGAGTGAGATACAGGACTATAATTCAGGAGATAACATCAAGTGAGCTACAGAACAGTAATTCGGTGGATAGCATGGAGCAAGTTTCAAGTTACAGGACAGTAATTCAGTGGATACCATGGAATGAGTTACAGGGAAGGGAGGGCTGAGTTACCCCAATCTACACTGATCTGTCGCTGAGCACCCTGGAGGCAGAGACAGCTTCACAGTGGACATATATATTTACCAAGGCCCCTCACATGAGGACCTGGATTAAGAAGCTGGTGCTGAGTAAGCCTGGTACGCAACAATTGATTTGGACCTCGAGAACATCAAGGTGGCTAGCAAGTCATAAGTTGTCCTGTAAAGGTCCTCCCACCACACTGAAGGCAGATGTCAGCCAGATAGCTGATGCGTCTGAGGCTCTGAGGCTTGGGGTGCCAGCTGCTGAAAAGCATTACATGGATTTTATGAACATCTGTTCATACATCCAGCATTTGAAATCCATCTTGATTGGTTTGTAGAGAAAGAAGCAGTAGCCATTCAATCTCTGCACCTCCAACTCCAATTATCGATGGGAAGGGATGTGTGTCTGAGCTGTGAGCAATAAGATGATGGTAATGTTCTCACACATTTCATGCTGAGCCGTGTTGCCAACCAGAAAGTTTGCAGGAAGTTCCTGGTATCTCATCTACCTCGTGAGGGCTCAAATGCCTGTTTGTCAGATGTCAAATGACCAACTAGTGACTATCCTCCTTGTGGGGGACTAAGTGGGGTCTCTTTGGAGCTGAACTGGCTCCAAGGTGACATGCCTGGCAATGGCACATCAGAATCGAGCCAACCCTCTGTGGCAATCTCTGCAGTAAGCAGGATGGGAGAGAGTGCACATTGCATTCCAATAAATATCTCGGGAATTTCCATGTATAGGTGGGATGCATGGAATTCTCAGTTAGGTTTGGATACTCCCAATCGTGGAGATCGGTTTCCGCATGTCTCAGACATCCGGCTGACCCAAAAAATTCCCTAAATCAATTCAAGTGTTCAAATGATACAAAATATATTACAGTCATTCAAAGGTTGATGAACTAGGGCAGAGTAAATTAGTGAGAATGCTTCAGTGTGCTGCCAAGGGATGTTCAGAGGCTACAATGGCCCACATTGAGTTCCTAAACTCATTTGTACTATGAGTTGTGAGGAGGTAGACATTGGTTTTGTTCTTTCCTATAGTAAGGAGGATAATGTGGAGTCCTGTAGCTCAGTGGTTAGAGCACTCGCCTTACAAGCGAGACACCCGGGATCAATTCCAGGCAGGGCGAAACATTGAGCAAGTTTCCTTACTCCACATGCCTAACAATAATCCCTCCAAAAACAAAAACAATAAAAATTGGTCATTTTCAATCCACGACTGTTTATGGGATACTGCTGTGCGCAATTGGCTGCCACGTTTCGCCCACAAATATAGTGTCAATTCACTTTACAGTATATTCTGTGAAGCGCTTTGAGATGTGTGAAAAGTGCTATATCAAATGCAAGGATTATTATTTTATTATTATATTGAACCGCCCTGGAATTCTCTGCACACCTAGCTGCAAGCAGCCTACTCTGAGAGCAGCTTACCTATCTTCTTCCCCACATCCAAGCCATGACCCGCTCTGACTTCCCTCACCTCCATAACATCGCCCGACTCTACCACTACCTCACCCCTCAGGCCGCTGAAACTCTTGTTCAGGGCCTTCATCACATCTAGGCTCGACTATGCAATGCCCTGCTTGTCAGCCTTCCCAACTCCTCCCTCCACAGGCTGCAGATAATCCAGAACTATTGCAGCCCGTGTCTTCTCCGGCACCAAACTCCGTGACCCCATCTCCCCCACTCTCGCCCGACTCCACTGGCTTTCAATCCTTTAGAGGATCCAGTTCAAGATCCTGGTCCTCATCTACAAAGCCCTTCATGGCCTCACCCCACCCTACCTCTGCAACCTCCTAACCCCCTACCAACCCTCCCGCTCCCTCCGCTCAGCCGGCTCCGGCCTGCTCCACGTCCCCCTACCCACCTGCTCCACCATTGGTGGGAGAGCCTTCAGGCACTCTGCCCCCAACCTCTGGAATTCCATCCCCCAATCACTCTGCCTCGCTCCCTTCTTAGCCTCCTTTAAGTCCCGCCTCAAGACCCTGCTCCCTTCTCCCTCCCTGAGCCCATGTGAAAGGCACTATACAAATGGAATCTTGTTGTTGTACCTCTAAACAGTCTCAACTGGTGGAGAGAGAAACTATTCAAAAATTTAGCTAATGTTCCTGACTTTTTTAAAAAAAGTGAGAGTATGGATGCGAAAATGACATTCCTTTCCAAATTTGATGTTTGTCCAATTTATAATATGAATTCTTTATATTTTACAGAATATAAAAGAACGCACTTATTCTACGGTCAAAACTACCTCAACATCAGTCACTATTTATAACCTGAAGCCAGGCAGTGCATACATATTCCAGATACGAGCCTTCACTGCAGCTGGCTATGGGAACTATAGTCCCAGGCTGGAGGTCTTAACCCTTGAGGAAGCTACAGGTAAGAGTCTTCAGCATTTCCTTTTTATTGTTTAAATGAGAACAAGTTCAAAGTTGAACTAAACTCCTAAAATCTAAATCTGCAATGGAGAAACAAGTGAAGCAAGAGAAAAGTCACCCAGACATCTCTGATAGAGGTGCTTAAGATTATTAATTCTATATGGTACATGTTCGTAGGCTCTTTCCACTCATTGGTGAGTCCAATACTGGATGGTATAAATGCAAAATAGGTGGTAGTGGATCTAATAGGGAAGTTAGGACAAACTTGTTCATGCAGAGGGTAGTAAGAATGTGGAACTTACTGTTGGAAGCTGTGGTTGAAGCACATAGCATCAGTGTATTTAAAAGAAAACTTTCTGCATTCGTAAAGGAGAAGGGGACAGGTGACACAGACTAGTTGGACCAAACGGCCTAGTTACGTGTGAATCACTGTATATAACTTTATATAGACTGTGTCTCAAGATAAGGTTTAACAAAGTGTTGGCTACAGGTTGACTGACTGCTTTTTAAAATAGAAACTGGTTTCTGTATATAAGGAAACCAAAGGATAATTTTTTTTATTTAAAAGGGATTATATACTAACCCCAAACACACCTCTACCTCATTCCCCCAACAAAGATTTAATCTGATCTTAAACCTTGCAAAGATAAAGATTGTTGAAACGTTAGCTTTTGGTTGAGCCCGTTTCCATGCTGTAACCTTCTTTGTAATACTATATAATTCTATGTCTTCTGGCCTTTTTCAAATTTTTCAGACAGCATAAAAACACAACTGTGTGTGTGGGACAAGGAAGTGGTGGCCAGCTGTACATGTGACAGCTCGATATTCACCACTACTGAGAATGTCTTCTCTTTTGTCCTGCAGCCTCAGATTGTTATTCTCCTCTGAAGGAAATGCTTCCCCATTTAACATTGAAGTTCCACTGTCAAAGTCAGTGCTACCATCAACAATCACACTGTAATATACAGGGCCACAATAATGTTTTTTGTGCTGAATTAATACTTAAACCCACATCCCATTGGGGGTTAGCTCCTACTGACTAATTAACTTACTGGCTTCAATTTCACCAGTGAAAAAAAACATGCAGTATATGCTGACTGTGCTCACTGCATGACTGTGGTGCCTGATATACATTTATTTCCAACTAATCATCTGTGGATTATCGTCTGATAATCACCATCCACATCATTAATCCTTTAGTCCACATCTCAGTGCGTGTCAATGAATAGAAAGCGTCAGCCCTTGACATTGCCCTGACGTACATTTTCAGCACAACAAAACTTTTCTCAAGCCAAATAAAACTTCCCACCTGCTTTTCAGTGTATAATGTAGAACATAAAAAGGTATTTGGCGATTTCAAGGCTGTGATCGCTGTTTAGTTTTCAGATAGGAATTGTAATATTGTCCTGACCCCTTTTGTCCTAACACTTGCATTTTAATTGTTTACTCCATATTTATTTTACCATCACATTGAATTTTAACAACTTCCACATCTCAGTAAAAGGCCACATAGCAGTTGAAGGTTGAGACCGTGTGTTTTGAGCCTATGTGTGAGTCTCTTTCAGTGGCCCGTATTTTCACTTCACCACACTTTATAACATTCAATATCAGTTTCCAGACTGCTGGTGTCATCTTCTACCAATTGTTTTATATATAATTTTATTGATAAAAATTATAATGAATAATCCTTGCATGTGATGTAGCACCTTATCACGCCATTACAATGTCTGAAAGTGCTTGACAAGATTTTATATAGAGTAACTGCGTATTTGTAGATGAATTTTATAAATGATAGGAAGGCATCAAATCAATCATGCAGAATGCTACGAATGTACAACAGTGACAGAAAGAAAGGAAATTATTTAAACATTATTCAATTAAGATTTGCAAACAAATGAAATTGCCTCCTACTCAATTAATCTCCCACTTCCCCACCACCATATCTCCTATGGCTTTCTTCCATCTCTTCCACTGTAAGTGGATTACCTGTACAAGTTTCTAAACTTGCCTCCAGGTCAGCCTTCACTTGAAGGATTGGGTCAAACCGTGGAGTCCTGTAGCTCAGTGGTTAGAGCACTTCTCTTGCAAGCGAGAGACCTGAGTTCAATTCCTGGCAGGGCGAAATCTTGGGCAAGTTTCCTTACTCCACACGCCTAATAATAATCCCTCCAAAACAAAACAATAATAAATTGGTCATTTTCAATCCACGACTGTTTGTGGGACACTGCTGTGTGCAATTGGCTGCCGGGTTTCGCCCACAAATATACAGTCAATTCACTTTACAGTATATTCTGTGAAGCGCTTTGAGACATCTAGAGGACATGAAAAGCACTATAACAAATGAAAGATTATTGTTATTATTCCATTTGGGACTGATACTTTGCAGGAAGCTGAGATTTCACTACACCCATACACTACACTAAGCTCTTGTTGCCATCTTCTCTTCTCGTATTCATGTGCACTCACTCACAGGCATAATGTTGGCTTTTCGCTCATTTTAGATTTCTTTAATGAGATAACATTGTCATAAATGCTTTGCTTGTAGTAAGGAGGGAATTTTATTACTCTCTCACTAGATTGATGAGAAATGACTTCTTTGTTTTGCAATCAGCAAAGAATTTTAGAATTCATCACGCAGACAGTGAATGGTTATAGGCAGTGAATAATAATTTTCTCCATGACAGGAGCTCCAGACCCTTTAGCTAGATTTCAACACTTATATAGTGTGTTGAAGTCGGCTTGACTGACTCCCGAGTTTGGTTACTGCTGGAATTATTTGAGAACTGCAGTCCGACCTAGTTTCAGTGAGAGAATCAACAGGGGACCAATAGTCTTATTGCTGCCCACAATTACACAGATATTAAATACAGCGATGTACACACACCTCTCCGAACATCACTTTATTATCACTGTATGGGAAAATAATTTTTTTCAGTGAGTGTATAGTATAAACACAGAACTGACATTAAGTGTGTTATCTAAATTGACTTCAATAAATGAAAGGCACAGTTGTCAATTTTGCAATGGTAAAAGATTCAAGTGATGATTCATTTGGCTATAGATAAAAAGATGCCTGCCTCACAGCTGCCAAAGGTGCAAAGGTGTATTAGCATTTGTTAGCACACATTTCTACATGCATGCGACCATTCCAGAATTCAACTAACGTTCCACTTATATGTATAGTGTTAAGACAAGATTTCTCACCCACCCTCCTCCTTGTCAATTCATTTCTATGGGAATGTACTGTATATTATAACAATAGGGTAATTTCTATTTTACATAATTTCACAGTCTATTCAGGAAATTCACAGCTAAAGCCTGAATATTGTTGATGGTCTTTAATGTATAATTTGATACCGTTTTTTCTCTGATTAATTTTAGCAGCAATGTCTATTAACTCTTTTTTATTCATCTCCTGTAAATGGTCTGTGTCTGCAAATTAAAGTTTTGTATAATTTATTGTTTGCCTCTGTAAATTACGGGTAGCTGATGTAATTTAGGACACACAGGGTCTGCATAAACTGTGCTCTGCATGACATAAGTCTCATGACCCAAACCTGCAACCACATCACTTACCATTGATTCGTAACCCAGCCAGTCTATTAGCCAGAGGAATGAGACATTGTGTTTTTTTTACAGAATAGTACAGTAAATTAATTGCAGATAATTTGAGTAGTATAATAAAAGATATGACGTCACTACTGTGATTTGGTTCCATTTTTATTTACCATTTATGTTTTAATTGGCTCATTTTTCACTAACATTATTGGTTTACTGCTGGTGTGCAGCCTTCTGAAAGGTTGCTTTATTTGCGAGAACTTCTGATGATCCAACAGGAAACGTCCAGCTCTTTTATGCTTGGGGACTACAAGGCAATTGTGGTCTTTTCAACAGCAGTCCACTGGAAGAGTCTAAACAGGACTCTCAGCAGAGAGAAGCATGATAGCCAGATGCACACATATTTTGGGAAGTCAAAAATACACTTTAAAAGTCTTGCTGTGAACAAGATGAACAGGTTTTTCAACTAGAATTTCAAGCCCCTTTTTTTCAAAACAAAAGGTGATATGAACTTCACTGGATTCTTTTCATTTTCTTCTTGTGCTTTTCTAATATATTACTGAAGGTTTCCTTTCCTTAGTGTTTCTCTCTTTTAACATTCGGTCCCACTGTGTCAACATGGCTCAATTCATAGCACTTTTGCCTCTGGGACAGAAGATTGTGTGTCCAAGTCAGGGCTTGAGCTCACAGTCTGGGCTGGGCTGAGACTGCAGTAGGTGCAGTCAGTGCATTGTTTTGGCCTTTGGCTAAGAGTTCTTGCCTACCTGCTCTTCAGATCCTATGACATTATTCAAAACACGAAGGGAGTTTCTCCTGGTGTCCTGGCCAACAATCCTTCACATTGTTTTGGGCATTCACCTCATGGTTGTTTGTGGGACTTTGTTGTATGCAAATCGATGCATGTTTGCCTTACAAAATGCACAATGACTATTTGACAGTAATTAGTGTTCAATAGAATCAAAGAAATTTTTGGCACAGAAGAAGGCTGTTCGGCTCATTGTGCCTGTGCTAACTCTTTTAAAGAGCAATGCTTTCAGTTAATAACGTGTAATAAGGTGGTTTATATCTAAAATCAATTATTGGGGCAATCTGTTTTGAAATATTCTCTATTGTATTCCCAGCTACAGCTGCCTCCACCGAGCAGAACCCAGTTATTATCATCGCTGTGGTCGCTGTGGCAGGGACCATCATTCTGGTCTTTATGGTGTTTGGCTTCATTATTGGACGAAGGTATGGAATTGTGGGGCACACAGTCGTGGAGTACGCGATAGACGGGTACGTGATAGTGGGATATGCAATTTTGGGACATGTAATGCTGGAAGGGGTGGTTGTTACTGTGGGATATTTAATGATATGTTATTTATGGATTATTCAAACGCACTCCTCGCCGGTCTCCCCAACTCCACTATTCAAAAAATCCAGCTCATTCGGAACACTGCCGCCCACATACTTACCCAGACCAAACTCCGCACCCACATGTCACCAGTTCTGGCCAGGCTCCACTGGCTCCCCATCACCAAACAACAACAACAACAAGATTACATTTGTATAGCGCCTTTGACGTCAGGAGGACGTCCCAAGGCGCTGGATCGACTTCAAGATCCTCACACTCGTGTTCAAATCCATTCACTCCTCTCTGACCTCCTCACTCCCAAATCCATCACCCAGAACTCCGCTCGACTGGCGCTGGCCTCCTGCTTGTCCCTCGCACCCTCCACTCTACCATTGGAGCTCACACTTTCAGCCACTACATCCCGAAACTGTGGAACACCCTCCCTCAATCCCTCCGCCTTGCCCACTATATCCCCTTTTTCAAGTCCCACCTGAAAACTTTCCTTTTTGCCCGTGCTTACAGTCACCTCCCGCCACCCCCCCCTTCCCCCCACCCCACCCACCGCCCACCCACCACCTTGGCTCAGACTCACCAAGATGAAGGTGGTTGGTACTTGGAAATGGAATGCTTGTTCAGCACCTGTTAAGCGCTCTGAGATGCTACCTTGCGTGGAGGGTGCTATATAAGTAAAAGTTGTTGTTGTGTTTTTAATCAGAAGATCGGTAAGCCTTTTCTGTGGTTACAGTTATATGATTCCAGCTACTGCTTTTCTGACAAGTCTTTTTTTTTGGCTGTCAAGTTTATTTGCCTGCAAAGTACAGTCACTACACTTCACAGTGAAATCCTATGAAATGCTTTGAAACATCACAACAACGTGACAAGGCACTATATCAAATTCTGTTCAGCATTAAGTCCAATGCCTTTGCCAAAGGTGATGTGAGTGAGGATAAATTAAAATCTTTAACACATTGTTCACCAGCATTAACAGACATTTACTCAGCAGCTGTTGCCAAGGGCGACTAATTGGTGGAAACTGGTGCACGAACAACAACAAATTACACTTGCATAGCGCTTTTCACTTCAGGAGGACACCCCAAGGTGCTGAACAAGCATTCCATTTCCAAGTACCAACCACCTTCATCTTGGTGAGCACCCCAAGACTTAATACAAATTGTAAAATAAAACAAATTGAACCACTTTTAAATAAAAATCCCTAAATAAAAAATAAGTCAGGATATATATTCACCAGTACTCGTTTCTCCTGCCTGGGTTGGAAATGTTGATGCCATTGCTCATTTGGAGAGAACTATGATGTCTACAGTTAATTGCTTGGGGTACCGCATCGCTGAACAGCAAGACACTAGGATTTACATACTGCTGCTTTAAACAAACTGATACGGTGGAGAAGATCAGCTGGAATATTCTAATTGTGTGATCTTTTGAGTCGTTGCTTTTGATTCGTAAATTGTGTTTCCTTACAAGGTTTGCAGGTCTCGAACAATCAATAGGATGTGATAATCCTGAAATAATATAAACAGAATTAATGACTTGACAAGCTCTTCAATTCAAGGGCTCTTTCATGTACCTTAAAGTGCGCCGTAAATGGGTGTGGTGAGAAAGGATGTAATGCAACATTTTTGCGCCAAAAAAAGTACAAATAACCTAGTTGAAGGAATATGACTTTTTTAAAAAAAACATATGAAAGCAGATCAACAGTGATTTAGAGGGTTGATGAAATGACCTGGGACTTTTGAAAAATGTGACAATATGCTGAATGTCCCAGTGGAAGAGATGACCTTAAGAGCCCTACATAGGATTGCAATTTCTCAGTCCGAATGGGTTTGCTACCCCATATGTTTCTCATTACGATTAGGCCATTTTTTTCTCTCTCTCTCTGGCTGTGTTTGTTCTGTACTGTGATAGTAACATGTCATGTTTATGTTAGAAAATGAGTATCATCTGATCAGCACACTGTCCTTTGACCTTTGAGGCTGGGACTTGAACCCAATCCTTAGTGAGAAAACTGAAATCTCCTCCCCCGGCCATGGGGTCACTAAATTAAAATGAGCTTAAGCAGTTCATAGCACAATGTGACCAACTGTTCAAAATACATTGCCACTAAATTAACCATCTTGCTCAGAGAGGCCAGAAGGAGGGATGGTAATGAAAATGGGAGCATTTTATTGTGGTTTTCAAATCCCTCTTAGTATCTACCTCTTCGATCACGTCTCCACCATGTCCCCCATCCGCCTTATCTATATATATATTTATAATAATATGTGTGATGGATGCAGTGAGATGTTCTAAATATCCCCATAAGTTTTCACATTGTTCTTGCTACAAAAAGAGCAGTAGTGGTGGGTGAGAATCTGTTGCCATTATATAAGACTATTTTGTTCCCAGACTTTTTCCCCCCGTTTTGTAACATTATTTAGTCACCCATGATAGTATCATATGCTCTATACAAAAGGCAACACAGAAACATTGCAGTTTCTATACATTCAGTTCCTAGGAGTGAAGGCAGCGGCATTTGGTTAAGGATCAGATGTGTGCGTGGATGCCTCAAACAAAAACAACAGAGTGGATTTATATAGTGCCTTTCATGTCATGAGGATGACCCAAGGTGCTGGACAGTCAAGAATTTGCACTTCAGCTAGGGGTTTGATTTGGGAGGGTGGAGGGAAGGGAAGAGGTGGCGGAAAATTGACCAAAGGACAATCAAAGAGGAAGGTCTTGAGACTGACTTTGAAGGAGGTGAGGAAAGGGATGAGGCGAAGGGACTACAGGGTGGAGTTCCAAAGGGTGGGGACAAGTGATCCTGCTGGTATTTTTCATTATGGGTTGCCATGTGACAGCAGGAGTGAGGGCACTGTCAAAGCCATTGTATCAACCCAGCAAAAATAACCAAGAAAATGATGCGAAAGCAGAGCAGATACATCAACATCTGAAAGAGACAGCCTGGTCAGTTCTGATGAAGCATCAGGACCAAAATATTAGCTTTTTCTCTCTCTTTCAGATGCTAATTGACTCTCTGAGGACTTTCAGCATTTTCTGTTTTCAATTTCCATTTTCCGTTTTCACATTTGTATTTTTTATTCTGTTTATCTCAGTCACGAAAAGTGGACAAACTAAAGAAAGCCCTTTTAGTTATTCGTCCAATTTCTCCTCCAGTCTTTCAGATTTCAAAGCAAATAATGAAGAACAGTTATTGAGGCTTTATCTGATTTGGGAAGAACTGGGAGCGAAATAGAGTTCAGCTCACTCCCCCCCACTCCCCTTGGCCATTGCATCTTCAAACTCTCAAATGAAGATAAAACTTTCATTGTAGGTCAACCCTTATTGAATATTATTAAAGAATCTTTATCTGGGGACTAGATAAAGACTCCACATTTATTAAAGATATTTTATCAGGATAGTCATTTAAACTTAAAGCTATATTTCCAATGGGGCACTGGACAAGATGCCTGACAGATAACAGGTACATGAAAGGCAAGAGAAGAGTAACTGATTATGCACAAATGTTTCAATTAGTTACTCAATAAATGATTCCTTTGAGTTGTGGCCTTGTGTTCTTTTATCACAGGGTTTGATAAAAGGTTGAACAATTAAACGTGGAAACTGAGCAGTCAGTGCATTTTGAGAAATATTTTGTAAAAACAAGTCAATAGGCAGGTTAGACATTATTATGTCTGAAATGTTTTAAACGGGGTCTATGTTGTGATAATTCTTAATGGGAATTCCTTAACAAGGATAGGGAGCCTATTCCACCAAACTGTGGACTTTCTGATACGATCTGCTTCCAGAGTGGTGATCTCACAGGATGACAAGGAACTCCAATTGGATTTCTTATTAACGATTTACCTTAAGAAATACTGCACAGGTGGGATTCCAACTGTAACTTTTGATTTTTCCTGTTGTAAATGTTATTTAAACTCTGTGCACTGTTGATTTTTTTTCAGTAGAAATTCCAAATAGATATCGGGAACCGATATCCTGAATTGGAAATCTTGGATATTCTCGAAGCCAGTGTTATAAGGTCACCAGTTAATGTTGAAACATGTATCTGAAAATTGAGATGCGTAGGCCTTGAAGTTCACAAGTAGGAACCAAGCACAAGTCTTCAATTCCAGAGTGCTTGGTCTGACCAACTCCTATCCGTTAGTTACATAGGAAACATGGACATGGCTACTCACAGCACAAAGCGAATAGTTTCTTAACTTTAATGAATTGTCTGCCCTCTTTTTCAGACACTGTGGCTACAGTAAAGCTGACCAGGATGGGGATGAAGAACTGTACTTCCACTGTAAGTATGCTAATTATACTTCTGTGTCGCTCTCAGAAATATTTGGGTCATTTCCCAATCAGTCTTTGCTCTCTGTCACTGTGTCTTAATATGTATATATTTTGTCATGTTTTCCCCTTTTTATACCCTGTAATAATAGAATGCATAAGTAAAATAGGATGCAAAACCATGGCTCCAATCAATAACTGCCTGTGTCAGTCTCTAATTACTGCTGAAAATATTGCATCCTTCATCCAGGAAATGCAGGCATATGTCTAATCCTCAAAACACGCGACTCTCCTATTGCTGTAAATTCAGGAATATTCACTGAATATTTTTACGTCCGTTACTTTTTCCAGAGTTTCTACTGATTAATTTGCAGGTCACTGTCAGTACTTAAAGCCACTGGTTCCCACTGCTGTAGCATTGTGTCTTACGTTCACCAAGTCCATACTTTGAAAATGTTCTGAAGGACATAGGAAAAGGTGTAGGCTATTCAGCCCATTGAGCCCACTCCACTAGTTCATTGGTAGCGTGGCAGCTCTTTATCTTTCTAAATCTTACCTTTCTCCACTCTACTCAATACCCTTATTTCCGAAACATATAGGCCTGAAATTCAACTCAGTTCTAGCTTTCAAGACCATTTAGTCTCAAAAATCCAAACAGTGAATGGTTGAAACGTTTCAAACTTTTTTATAATTATTGTCAAATGTAGTGACTGTTTTATGTAGAGTGAAGTCCTATAATTACTGATAGAATAGGCCCAGGTTGCAAAGTGAGTTAAACTATTATCCTCTGCAACCCGAATTCAAATCCATCCTAAACTCATAACATGGTAAAACCCGTTCTCTGCTGGCTATACTACTCCAATGTTAAATAAGCTTGGACTGTGTAAATCCATTTTTAATTTGACACAAGCTCTCACTGCAAGGAAGTCTGGTATGAGAAATGGAAATGTCCCACTAGTGAAGTAGAGGTCCCCGTTTTAAGGTTAACGTTAAGGTCCATTGTTGGGAAAGCTTTGCCCTGCAGCTGGCAGTATTGTACCTGACCTGGGAGCGGTTGATGCTGAACATGATAGCACAAGGTGACCCATTGCCTAGCAATGCCATCCTTCATCTTCACAAACACAAACTCCCCATTTGCATTAAGTACAGATTGCTTTTCTCACTAATGCATTTACATTTTTTTAAAATAGCAACAGGGTTCTAAGATCTATGAACCTGTCAATTGAATGAGTTCAGTGGGACAAGCTTAGGTGTTATCAGTTTCTCAATCCAACCACTTTGAGCATTATCTTTGTATCTCTGATTTTAAACCCCACTAAAAAATTCTGGCATTAGCTCTTGTGAGCCCTATTAACAACTGATTAATTCTCTACAACTACACAGTCACTATACTCCATAGCAATTACCTGTGAAGCGCTTTGAGACATTCAGTGTTATAGGAGTGAAATTCAACGAGGATTATTAGTATTATTATAACCAGCAGGAAAAAATCAGCTGTATCTGTCTCCATGCATGAGTGAATGTGCGTGTGTGGCAATATAAATCACTGCTTGAAACTGCCATATACTGAGTTCCACAGAGCACATCAATCAACAGTGCATGCAGCCCAAGAACTGCTCAGGGTCAGCCGTGTATTGTTGGTAATGTCACAGTCCTCACCGTCCATCAGTTTTTAAAGTTCGAGACTTTGTCTGTGTTTCCCTTAATGTTTCCCACTGTCAAAACGATTTGCCCCTGGAGGCAGCGTAAGTGATAGCTCTGTGGATAACATGCAGAGCTCACTCACTCACTACCTTAGGCAAAGCACTGATTAAGCAAAAGAAGTTGTCACATCATAAGCATGGGCTGATTGGACAGGCTGCAAGAGAAGGGGAGGGAGAGAGAAAAAAAATCTCTCCAAAGCCTTGAAATTGCACTTACAAGTGGCACATGAGAAATAAAATGTATGAACAGCAGATTAATCTTACTACGTTAAGGACAGATTGCCTTTCTCACCAATGCATTTACCTGCTACCTGGATGTTACATGAACAGTCTATCTGCTGACAGCAGATAAATCCCATTAATAAATTCTACTTTTAGACCTAATTTGTCATGCAACTTTCCAGGGAGATTGTAATAAGACATTTCTATCAGATTCAGAGAAAATTTGGTCTTGCAAAGCAATTCTGAATAAGATTTGGACGAATCAACTGGCATTGATCCATAGTGATTCTGTAAAATGAGATGTGGATGAAGCATACTGGAAAGGCAGATTTTATTTATACCACAATAAAAATCCTATGTAGCTGGCTAGAAGAGAAGCCAATGAGCTAATGATTTATGTCCAGTCTTTTCAAAGATCATATATACGTTAGAATTTATCCTTTATGCTTTGAAGGCCATATCATCGTTGCTTGTAAATTAGTCTGTAGATGTCCTAATTGATCCTTTTGCTAAGGATTCATCAGGACATCTACCTTTCTGATCAGAATCTTTGCTGGTCTGTAAATGCCTATAGACTCTGCATTTGTTGCAAGTTTCTCCAACCATTGAATGCACTCTTCTAAGTCACGAGTTTCTGAATTACATAGATTTTATACTCCTCACACCCTTAAACAAGAATATAGATCTCTGTTTTTGTGAAGGGAATATGATACTACCTGCATTTTGCCCTTAATAGCAGCAGATGAGTTGAGTGAAAGGGGATTTTCGCTTCTTTGTTGGTTGAGGGAGGAAGTCCCAATCAGTATCTGAGAGGGAGATATACACAGCAAAGCTATTATAACAAGAACCCAGCAACATCAAGGAATTGAAATTATTAATAATCCCTGCATTTGACAGCGCCTTATCGCGTCGTCAAGACATTTCAAAGCACTTCACAAGATTCTTAAGTGTAGTGACGATGTATTTGTAGAAAAAATTAAGGAAGACGTGTAAAGGAACGGACATTTAGTAAAATTCAAGGAAATACTGCATTGTGGTCACATTGCTGAAATAGATCGTGGGGAAACTGCATTGAGTTGAATTTTTGCATTGAGCATCAATACAGCAGCTATCTCAAAATGTAGCACACAAGGGACAAAATCTGAGGAAATTACTACTGGATATTTTGCACATTAAAAAACCTATCAGGAAAGTTATGTTTTAAAAAGAACTGGCCCAGCACAGTGCAACCCAAGGGTTTCCAAAAGATTGGAGTGGACATGAAGCCAGATTGAAACATGGTTTCCCAATTATATTCAGATAATAGGAGTGTTAAAATAATGATAGGGTTTGAGAGGCTAAATAGTGAGAGGTGATTTCCAGCGATCGGCAACAAGAACGCATAAACACAAGATTGTTCATTGAGATCTTAACGGGAAGGTTAAGAGAATGCATTACCACAACTGACTATTGAGGCAGTTATGATGTTCAAAAAGGAATTAGATAAACACCTGAAGAGTGAAGTTATAAAAGGCTTTGAGAAAGGAGCACAGATGTGGGATTATAGCAGATAGTTCCAGTGGGGAGCAGGCATGCCACAAAATGATAGGTTGAACAGCTTCCTTCTGTGCTGATATTCTTATGATTTTATCTGCCACATGCACATTGTAGCCCTCAGTGTTATTCTAACCAGGCCTTGGTAGCATCAGTGAATGATCTTGTGTGGATACGTGGCCGAAATTCCACCTAGTCTTAGCTTGTGAAACCATTTTGTTTTACAGTTTAAAGTCGTACAGAATTGTGGAAACACTTTAAACTCAGTCTTAATTTGGAAGGCAGTTTTGCCGCAATACATAAAAAAAGAACAGATTTCCAGATCAAGGTTAAAATTTAAGACATTTTCCACAATTCTGCATCTCAAATTTTGAGCCAAAATAGTTTTACAGAAGGTGGAATTTCAGGCTTGTAATTAGGCTGTCACTGTTTTATTGGCCTCTCACTGACTTCATAATCAGGACAACAGGATATCCTAAAATCAAACATTAAATCCAACCTTAAGACTTACCTCTTCAACCAAGCCTATGGCGACTTCCCCCTTCTCCCTCGCTCAGTGTTCAATCCCATAATTGTGCAGCGCTCTGAGATGCTATCCTTTGTGAAGTGCGTTATGTAAATGCAAGTTGCATTATTTTTACAAATATTGACAATAATAATCATAAAACCATTATAGATGAACAAAACTAGTCGACAAAGCATAAGTGTACCTAAGTGGCCAGGAATGTCCAATTTACCTGTTTTGCTAATTCACTAAAGTCTAGTCAACAAAAAAACTGGCTACATTGACTTTATGTGATTGAGCAAGAGTCATACATTTAGAAAACCACTACTGATGCTTCATGTTATTGCTTGTTAAATTTCTCTACTTCTCCTCAACATTCAACAGAGGTTACCATTAGACTGTGATTCTGCACAGTCCTTAACTGAAGCATTCTCAGTGGGTATATATTGCTGCAGCTAATAATTGTACCATTTCTACCAACCATATGTCAGTCTTTTGCTTCACAACCTAGACCCAGCCAAGGTCAAACACTAAGAATTTTTTTCTCCCTGAGCGATACGCAGGCCATTTGATACTCAACTGCTGTGGCCAAGGTGGCTGGAGAGTTTCAGCCAATGAAAATTAACAGCTGCACATCTGAACAGGTCTACAGAGAACTCGGATTTAATGAGGTGCTGGGTAGCAGAAGCATTTTTGCATTGCATTCACACCAGTAATTGGGTGACTTTGGCTGTTTTTGTTCATATAGTGAAATTGCCTCAGCCTCTTAGAAAGCTTTATGACAACAAGCTCGTAGATAAGATTGTTCCAGTGCTATTTGGGATTCAGAAGATTACCTCAGTCTATACGCTGCTTTTCACTGAGCTGAATGAAGAGAATGATCTGCTGGCTGCCTGCATCCACAGATAGAAACTTTACTTCACATTATTCCTATTATTAGAATAGTGTTGAAGCGAGAGAGGGGAGGAGCAGAAGGGGGATAGCATCATGTGATCATGGAATGAATAAAACTAATCAGGAATACTGCAAGGACAAGAGAATTTCATCCCTGTTTTGAGATAATCTGTCACAAACAAAATGGAAAGTGTTAACACCACATGTAAATGAAAAGACCTTTGCGATCCATCTGACAACTAAAGTAAACTATATCCTCTTCTCTTTCTCATATGAACTCCAGCAATTGGCTTTCTAAAGTAGAAACCTGTATCAATAAACTCCCAACCAGCACTATAACGGTCATGTTTTGTCTAGTCAGACAAAAAGCCGGTCAGTGCACAGGAAGTCAAAATGGTTGACTTCCACATCATCAGGTCACCACTGAAGTGAAGGGAACCACCACACCACCACTTCCTGCAGGCAAGAGTGATGTCAGAAGTGACCTGATGATCCAGTTGTCAGATATTTTGTCTTGCCCATGCCGGTCGGTGTTTTGAAGCAGTGATGGAGCAGGCCTGTGGTTTTCTGTTTTTTTTGTGTAAGTAGATATCGGGGTTCATACTCAAGTGAACCCAGGTTATAGTGAAGCATACAGGTTTGTAGTCTAATTCCCTGTTGAATTACCTGACGCAATTTGCTTCCACTACCTCTCTGACTAGTCCATTCCAAATATTCTCCACACTCTGGGTCTGAAATATGGTATTCATAACAGGATTCAAAAGTATTCCTAAATATTGAAACCTGCAAATAACCAGATGTGTCACACCGACCCGAGGGCATTCTGCTCTGACTCAATCTCCTCCCTGTTGTGAAGGATGCATTTTCAACTCTTGCTTGTAAAGAAGTTAAATCTAAACTCTCTCTTTACTTTCCCTCTTCCAAGTTTGGATCCGTGTCCCCTGTTGCAGAATCCTAACACCCAAGCTCCTCCCAAACTGTAGATTATCTAGATTTCAGCAACCTGTATAATTTCCCATAGTAGACTCCGCGAACCTTTCACCCCTGTACTCACAACTGCACCGGCTCCTCATTCCCCAGCAGATTGAATTCAAGATCCTCACATTCAATTCCCTCCATTGTCTCTCCTCGCGCTATCTCTGCAACCCTACCAACCAGATCATTCCCTTCACTCAACAAACACTGGTCTGCTTCATGTCCCCTATCCAATCCTCTTCAATTCTGGAACTCCATCCTGAAATCCATCCAACTGATTCCCTCTTGCCCCACTTTCGGAGCCTACCTCGAGACTTACCTCTGACTTCGCTTTGGGTCACCCTAGTTAGCTGCTGCCCCACCCCCACCAAGCAGTGTAAAATGCTATGAAACATCCACCCAACATGAAAGGCACTACATAAATATAAAAGTGTTCAGTGCACCTGTAATGTTTAGCATCATCAATACTTTGAGACAATCTTTCTGAGTCTTATCTTCTCCAGTTTCTTCTAACTCAATTGGCATCTCTGAATTAGGTGCTTTTGTCCTACTCTCTCCAACTCCAACCAATTGTAATAAGGTAAACCCTCAATTATAATAATACAACGAGAATTATATGCAGCATTCAGATAGATTGAACCAGGACTCCGTACAGAAAGGTGATCAAACAACTTACTCTCAGACTTCTTTGTGTGATTGCAAGGGCAGGACAGAAGTGGCTTCCATCCTAGTAACAGAATAATGGAGAAAACCTGATGTCTGGCCATAGAACTAAATACATTTACAGCATGGTGGAGCCAATCAGCCCATCATGTCTGTGACTTCATTGCTTTCATGACAGCATCTTTCTTCAGTTGTTAAGTGTTGTGCTTTTAGTGATGCATTGACCACGAGACAGCAGCCCCTAGTCACTTGTCTGAATCACTCTTCCCTCACTCTCTTCCAGTTAAGTTGCCGGGTACAAGAACATACATCGATCCGGAAACCTACGAGGATCCAAATCGGGCTGTTCATCAATTTGCCAAGGAATTAGATGCCTCCTGTATTAAGATTGAACGAGTGATTGGAGCAGGTGAGATATCCAGTCCTATCAAAAGCTTTAGTGCCAATATGTATTGGAGAACGTCAGCCAGGGACCATTTGAATCACGAGTCAGCAGGTTTCAGAAATAAGCCACGTGCTTGGTTCAGGAGTTTTATCTGATGCAGTAAAGGAACATGGAGCAAATGTGATGCCTGTGTCCAGAACGCTTACCATTTCAGTGGGTGGTTCATGTGCTTCAGATTGCAGAAACTACTGTCTGCCAAACCCTGTTGTTTCATAGTAAGGTCATTTTAAAAATACGTTGTCAATGCATTTCACAGAAACTTTGTGAATCATTGTCAATGTTATAAGCTATATATCAAATCCAAGGATTATTATTATAACCTTTGAGACGTTGTCGACATTATAGGAGCTATATCAAATTCAAGAATTATTATTATAACCTTAGCAATTTCAATAATGCTCCAAGTTCAGCGCTTATTAATATTGTTAGGAAGAAAAAATACCTTCAGAAATAGTCTTGTTCCCAATGGAACACCAGGTGATACCGTAGCCCATCAGACTGACAAAGATTTCTGATTTACTTAAATAAATAGTCAGCCAAACATTCCATCTGATGTCTCCTGTTACCTTTACTACTGGCAGGAACTGCAAGTGCCTGATTCCTAATACATAATATATTTGTATGAATAAATATGCGGATTATGCCATCCAATAGGCATTTTGCATGTTATGCAAAGCCTAGTGGGCACTCAATGGGGAAACAATTCCCTGTACTGATTGGGATTACTTTTGGTTTATTCATGTTGAGTAAAATGGGAACTTTGAAGTTAAGTATCCATGCATGTATAGACTCAGTTTGCTTAGATCTGTGTGTTGTATCACATGCATATCCTTTCAAGCTGGATGAAAACAAAGTGGAGAAATTTTGACCAACTGTAGATGTTAAAGCCAGGACATTTTCATAGCTCCTGCAATAAAGTACATTTTGTTTTAAGCCTTAAAGTAACTACACTCAAATGCTGAAATAACCTTTAATGCACGCTGAAATCTGAAGGAGTAAAGAAAAGTGTAGGTTCAGCATTCACCCATGATGCTGTGATATCATTATGTGGCAGTGAGGATATTGTACCCTGACCAGACAACAAAAAGGCCATTAACTAAGAGCAGGTTGTACACAGAGAGAAAGAAGTAATTACTTTGTATTCTCACATGGATAGTTAAGTCTAAACAATATCTATTTTTAGCATTAAGGTGTCATCTAAAATACAGCACTTGTTCAAAATGATACACTGTTTATCAGGGAGAAAAAGTGGCTGAGAGGAAGAAAGACTGGATTGCTGGGTATTGGCTGGGCGTAATCCGTGTTTCATTGTTAACCCCTTTTAAACTCGGTAAAGCAGGACTGCAATGGTGTGCTGAAAGCTGATGTGTGTAAAATGTTCCAAGTAATTATATCAAGAAGGGAATATGTGCACCAGTACATCTCTGCCCTGACACAAAAGCTGCTGTTGTTCTTCAGGTGAATTCGGAGAGGTGTGCAGTGGTCGACTGAAGCTCCCAGGAAAGAGGGACACAGCTGTGGCCATCAAAACACTGAAAGTGGGTTTCACGGAAAAACAGCGAAGAGATTTTCTCTGTGAAGCGAGCATCATGGGGCAGTTTGATTATCCAAATGTGGTGCACTTGGAAGGAGTCGTTACCCGGGGTAAGCCTAGGTGTCCGGTCCATTATGTGAAAATGACTACAGTATTAACTGCCGCAAGTCAGTTTGGTGAAACAACGTGCAATTAACATTCACTGAAATTTTATGATCAAATATGGTATGAGCTCTATTAAAGCCACTAGTCCCCGTATTCTCTATTCCACTGCTTGCAAACCTGCTCATCCAGAACTCAGGCCCCACATTCTTTCCCACACAAAGCTCTGTGAGTCCATCGCCTCCATCCTTGCCTGGTTTTATTGGCTCCCTATCGTGCATCACATCAATTTGAAGATCCTTGTTTTAACTTTCAAATGCCCAAATGGCCCTTACCCCACCCTGTCACTGGAATACTTTGCAATCCTAGTCCACCGCCCATTCCCTTGGGTCTGTCAACTCAACTCCCTTTCATGTCCGCATCCTGGAATCAGTGGGTGAGATTTTAGTGATTTTCTCCCTGCTTTCAAATACTTTGTCCCAAAATCCACCTGCTCCACATCAACAACAATAAAGTTCCATTTGTAAAGCGCCCTTCACATTGGGAGGACATCCCAAGGTTCTGGACAGTCAGTGTTTCGGAACCGAGCTGGGGGTTGGGATTGGGGAGGGTGGAAGGCAGGGGGGAAAGGAGGGTGATCAAAAGCACAGTCAAAGAGGAGAGGCTTGAGATGGGTGTTGAAGGAGGCAAGGGAGGGGGTAAGGTGGCTGACTGCAGGATGGAGTTCCAGAGGGTGGAGACAGAGTGGCAGAAGGCTTGCCTGCCAATGGTGAGGTGAGCAAGGTGGGAGACGTGAAGCAGGCTAGAGCCCACTGAGTGGAGGGAATGGGCAAGATGGTAAGGGGTTAGGAAGTTGCAGAGGTTGGGGGGAGAGAGGCCACGGAGGGCTTTGAAGGTGAGGACAAGGATCTTGAACTGTATCCTCTGTGTGATGGGAAGCCAGTGAAGTCGGCCATGATGGGGGTGATAGGGTCATGGGGCCTGGTGCGGGAGAGAACACAGGCTACAGAGTTCTGCAGCCTATGGAGGAAGGAGTTGGGGAGGCCGACAAGCAAGCAGTTTGATTAGTCAAGTCTGGAAGTTATGAATGCATGTGTGAGTGTTTAGGAGACCTGCAGTGTGAGACAGTGGCGGAGCCAGGTGGTGTTGCAGAGGTGGGGGAAGACAGAGCAGGTCATGGCATGGATGTGGGGTAGAAAGGATAGTTGAGGGTCAAACAACTCCAAGGTTCTGGACTGGCTCAGTGAGGTGGAGTGTGCATCCATGAATGACGATGCTGTTAGCAACTGAGGTGTGGAGTTGCTGATGGTGGCTAATCAGGAGAGCCTCGGTCTTGTTGACTCTCAACTGAAGAAAGTTAGCTCTCATCCAAGACTTGATGTATGACAGATATTCTGTCAGCACAGCAGTGGTTCTGGAGTCAAGAGTGGAGGCAGAGAGGTAAAGTTTGGTGTCATCCGCATACATGTGGAAATTGACCCCATGTCTGCGGATAATGTCACCAAGAGGGAGCATATAAATATTGAAGAGGAAGGAACCAATGACAGAACCCTGAGGAATGCCATACGAGACTGTGCGGGAGCTAGAGGAGAAACCGTTTGTGGAGATGAAGTGGAGGCGGTGTGAGAGGTACGATCTGAACCAGTCAAGACAGAACCGTGAAGATTGTGGTGAGAGGAGAGGCGGTGGATGAGGCTAGAGTGGTCAATGGTGGTGAAGGCAGCAGAGAGGTCAAGGAGTATGAGGAGGTAGAGGGAGCCCTGGTTGCAGATGGACAGAATGTCATTTGTCACTCTGACCAGGGGTGTGTCTGTGCTGTGGTCAGCATGCAAATCTGATTGGAGAGGTCACTCCTCTTTGCTTCCAAAACCACCTTAAAACCGATCCTTTCGTCAAACGTTTGGCCACCTCGCACCTCGCTCAGGATCCCACTCCACATTCTGAAGCACATTGATGTATGTTTCATGAAAGAACCAATGTAAATGAAAATTTTGCAGGGAAAGAGACTGGTGCTATTGTGCAGGGAAAGAGACTGATGCTATTGTGTAGTTGATGGCGGGATGTAAGGGAGGAGAAATCATTAATTTATTAGAGTGAAAATTATGACCATTGATGTGTTAATTGTCACCAGTAATAATTATCACATTATAGAAAATTCTACCCCGTTGTTGTCCTAATTGGTAGACTGATTGTGAGAATCTTAAAGTTTTCCCATGGATTGCAGTATTGCATTAGCTGGTTAGTGGGGTACCGGCTTGACTTTTTTTATTGAGATAGACCTGGACTTCAACAGCAATCCAAGGGCCAGATGTGCAGCTTCATACTCAACCATTGTGACAGAGTCAGGGTGCGAAGGGAAGATATCCACAGCCAAGCCATAAATAAAACCATGTCGATTTGTTAATGAAGTGATCATTTGCACCAGTGATGATTAATATTGAATTCATCACTAAATTTATAAATTGTTGAATAATTTCAGTAATTAGCTATGTTGAAAGGGTTGGGTAGATTTGGGTTGTCTTTGTAGTTAAGGAGGTTTAAGGATGATCTGATTGATGTGTTTAAAATATTGCATAGAATTGACAAGCTAGATAATGGACAACTCTGCTTGTGGTAGAAAGATCCAAGCTAGTGTACATAACCTTAAAATTGGAACAAGGATGTTTAGAAGTGAGATTAGCACATGCTTCTTCACAATCCGGGTTGTGAAGCTGTGGAAAACACTTCTCTTGGCAACAAAAAGCAACAGAGAGAGAATTATTTGTGGAATGTTTAAAAGAGAGATAGAAAGATAATTGGGAAGTAAAAAAAATTAAGGTATAGTTGAAAATGGGATTTAAAAATCTGACATGATCTAACAAAGTGGTGGAACAGATTAATGAGATTAATGACTTCTTCCTATTTATTCCTATGTTCCTAATTAGTTCTGTCAAACCGTCCAGGAAATGGGATTGTTGTCAAGCAGATTGATGGAATTTCCTTCCTGTTAAATACTGTGTAAATGCAGTGATAATTTAATCCGGTCATTGACTTCAAATTACAAACATACATTATATATTGACTCAAATTGTGGTTCTCCTCAAATTATGTACCAAATAGCTATTACTCTCTGAATTCCAACCACTCAACACAATGCAATCTACATTTTCATTGTGATTTCACATCGGGAGGATATCCCAAAGAGGGGTAACCGAGCTGGGTGTGGGAGTCGAATGGGGTGAGGAGAGATGATCGGCAGAAAATAGATGGAACCTTAACTGAAGCACAATATAAATAAATATACACAAGAAATTTACCGTGCAAGTGTATTTTGTCCATATTTGTGCATGACTGAAATCATTTACTTTTGGTGTAATTAATAATTTGGGATTATAACTACCATTAAGAATTTTGGGGTAAATATGGATGAGCAAAATGGCCCTGAGATTCCCACAACTATTTTCTTAACTATTTTGTAATTTGCCAATTTAAGTTTTATGAATATTGCAAACTAGAAGTAGTAAGATGATATGATTAGTTTTGATTAAAAAAACTCCCATTAGCCCATCTGATCCTTATACACATCCTCCCATTACAGCATCAAGCTGTGTTTTACAGGAATCTTGTGTCCTGGTTCCAACTGCCTTCTTGGCAACCTGTTCCAGTCATTAATTACTCTCTGGGAAAATATATATTTCCTGGGGTCTGTCCTGATATTGCTCTTTGTGACCTTAAAAGTGTGTCCTCTTCTGCTTTATTGATGTATCTGAAAATATTGACCTGGTAGACAGAACCTAAATAAATAACATAATCAAACAATAGCATGTTAATCTGGATGTCAATGCTAAATTTCTGTAATGTAGAATATTTTATATGGGCAAAAAATAGCTTACAATGTTTGAAAAGATTTGACCAATTTAGGTGCAGAATATGGCACCGGAGGCTGGCCACTGTCCAACCCAGGCAGGAAGAAAATCTACAGGATAGTCACTCCATCAACCCCTCCTACCCAGCCCGGCTTCCCTCATACATCTGTTTGCAGCCAGCTGTAGATCATTGCTGTGAGAGGACTGAGGTCAAGTAATTGCCTTCTTTCTGAGCTAGGAACTGGTTTATGGTCCAAGGAAGCTAAAAGAAAGGAGGAAAACAACTAGTCAGTGGGGATTTGAGTCTGGCATAGTCAGCACAATAAAGCCACATTTTGGGAAGGGTTATATGTTGCAATAAATTAGTTCACTAAACTTTAGGAGCTGGGTTTGAATTCAGCCCAAACTGATCAGTTTCATCCCTCTGTTGTTAACTGTGAGGGTCCTATGTAAAGTGTGTTTGGACAGCAAACTCAGTTCTTTGTGTACATAAGTCCACAACACAAGAACTCTAATTCAGCAATCATTTACATGGCCTGACATTTAAAGAGTACTGCAATAAAAACTAGACTATTAAACTCTGCTACAATTATATGAGATGCAGCAGATGGAATCAAAGGCCTACCACCAAGATTTCATTTTTAATTGGCAACAGAGATAGACCAACTAGGTTGCTTTTCACCCATAGGGTTCATAAAGTGCTCCATGCTGGGCCTTGCTGTCATAAAAAACATTTTGGGTTGTAACCTTTGTTTTGAACAAGGTTTGGTTCATGAATCTCATCACAAACCATTGTTTTATTGACCCCATTTACAGTCATTTGTACAGTGCCTTGGGATGTCCTCCCGACGTGAAAGTCGCTAGAAAAATGTAATCTTGTTGTTGTTGTTGTCATATGAGAAACCTATCTGACACATCTGGCATGAATATAAATGCAAGTTGTTGTGATATCCTCCCTACGTGTGGTTTCCTGACAATTGCTTACTTTACCTGTTACGTAACCTCATGGTATCTTGTACAGTTACAACAACAACTTGTCTTTTGAGTGCCTTTCATGTAGTATGTGTTGGAGTGCTTTACAATAACAGTGTCAGATGCCGAGCAGTGGGAGGTGGGAGGGGGAAGTGACTATAGGCACAATGAACGCAGCAGGTTTTAAGGTGGGACTTCAAGACAGATAGAGAAGGGATGAGGTAGAGGGAGTGATCTCCAGACGTTAGGGCAGTAGAATCTGAAAACTTGGCCGCTGATGGCATGGAGAGGGTGAGGGCATAAGCAAGCCCAAGTTAACTGAGTGGAGGGGAGAGCAAAGGGGTGGGGTAGAAACACGGTGAGGATTGGGACGATGTATGTGCAGTGCGTAGTCATTCACTTAGGTAGCAAAAACAGTAGAGCGGGTTATTTTTTAAAAGGGGAGAGACTGGAATGTGCGTCCAGAGGGACGCACAATCACAGAAAGTTAGTCTGCAGATGCAGCAAACAATTAGGAAAGCGAAAGGTATGTTAGCATTCATTATGAAAGGATTAGAGTATAAGAGTAGGGAAGTCTTGCTGCAACTGTATAGGGCCCTGGTGAGACCACACCTGGAATACTGTGTGCAGTTTTGGTCTCCTTATTTAAGGAAGGATGTACTTGCCTTGGAGGGGGTGCAGCGTAGATTTACTAGGTTAGTACCAGGGATGAAGGGGACGAGTTACGAGGATAGGCTGACCAATTTGGGCCTATATTCTCTGGAATATAGAAGAATTAGAGGGGATCTTATAGAAACCTATAAGACCATCAAAGGGCATGATAGAGTAGATAGTGGGAGATTGTTTCCCCTGTTTGGAGAAACCAAAACTAGGGGTCACAACCTTCAAATCAGAGCCCAGCCCTTTTGCACTGATTTGAGGAAGAACTTCTTCACTCAAAGGGTGGTGAATGTATGGAACTCGCTACCCCAAAGGGCTGTTGACGCTCAGTCCTTGAACATATTCAAGACTGAGATAGATAGATTTCTTATTGCAAAAGGGATTAAGGGATATGGGGATAAGGCAGGGTTAGGTTATTAGCTGGAGTTAGATTAGAAGATCAGCCATGATTGAATGGCGGGGCAGGCTCGAAGGGCCGAATGGCCTACTTCTGCTCCTACATGTTATGTTATGTTATACAGGTGAGGATCTGGGCGGCAGAGTTTTGGATAAGTTGGAGTTTATGGATGGTGTATCTTGGGAGACCAGAGAGGAGTACATTTGAAAAAGTCCAAACGATGAGGGCATTATTTCTCTATCACTCACACCTTCACATTTACATAACCTCCAGTGGGCTAAAATTAGTCAGCGTTACATGTAACACTTCTGGCAATATCAGTAGCTAATGGGATTTTTCCCATTGTAACTGTGCATTACCAAAGGGGGAGCACCTAATGCCTACCGCAATCTCACCTCACACATATCTTATGCAGTTACGTGACCACCTCTTTTTATGTGTTATATAAGCTCCTGTTAGCACCGTTGCTCACATCTTCATGACTTAACCTCCAGCCAGGGCCAAAGACAAATTTCAGACTCATTAAAAAANGTATCAAAAGAGAAACCTTCTGAAGTTGCCCAAAGAGATTTGTCTCTTACAATACACTTGCTTTATTTGTACAGGTAAGCCAATCATGATTGTAATAGAATACATGGAGAATGGAGCACTGGATTCATTCCTTCGGGTAAGTACCAAAATAAATACAAGTGTACAGATTGCCATAAAGATATATAAGGGAAATTGTAAGAAGTTTCTTGTTTTACAGTTAAAGTAATATAAGAGCGTTTTACCAGTATAAATTATTTAGATTATATTTCATTACTTTTGAAATTCAAACATGCCCATGATATATTTATTATATTTTTTCTAAAAGTTTCATTTGAGGTTACAGTAACATAGTTTAAATACAATTCTGCAGACATATCAAAGACTTTTATTAGTGTCTATGTTAACTCTGGCCCAAAAAAGGGGATTATTTACCTTTCCAGGGCCTGTAATACTGCCAGGTCTTAGCCTGTTAGATCATTTTGTCTTAACATTTAAGATCACACTGAATTGTGGAAAATTTCTCAATTTTGTCTTCATTTGGAAGCAAGTCATTGTTAAGAAACCTGCCTCACCCATTGTTACATAGAATTACACAGAACATCACAGCACGGAAACAGGCCATTCTGTTCAGCTAATCTGTAACAGTGTTTATACTCCACATAACATTAATTCCCTACTTTTGTATTCTATTCCTCTGGTCTTAATTTTTTTTGATTGCCGGGTGTGTGACACAAGCGGAAACCCATCACTGTGCTTAAGGGTATTCAAACTAAGCTGAGATTTCCATGCATCCCACCTACACATGGAAATCCCAGAGATAGATTGGGGCTCAAACCAAGATACAAACTGATGATCCCGGTTTGATTCCAGTGGCCATGAGTGTATTGACCGATAACATGAAACTTAGTCAAACTCTACATTTAGGGGACCCACTCCCTATCAGCTAATAAAAATTATTTCTCAATGGAACTTAAAATGTACCTTTAAATCTTCATTGAGTTCAATTGATCAATTTTTGTAGTTTATTTGGGAAGGATAAATGTGCCAGAGCATGTACCCACCCACCCCTTTTTTTGTTAACATCCAGCAAAATCTTTTACTTGAAAGCAAAGGCTTATTTGCCTTGTTTGCTTGACCCTCTCACTTTCACTTTTGCATGACTGGTACTGTTAGTGTTTTGGAAGGTATCCCCAAGTGTAAAAGAAACAGCACAGTGCACACATTTACACTTCCAGATGTTAAACAGAGGCACTATTTTTACTCCCATCAGAAGCATGACGGCCAGTTCACCATCATCCAGTTAGTGGGAATGCTGCGTGGGATAGCTGCTGGCATGAGGTACCTTGCCGACATGGGATACGTGCACAGGGACTTGGCAGCTCGCAACATCCTGGTCAATAGCAACTTGGTCTGCAAAGTGTCTGACTTTGGTCTGTCAAGAATTCTTGAAGATGATCCAGAGGCTGTCTACACTGCAACAGTGAGTAAAGTACAAAGTGTAAGTTAAAAGGGAATTGCAAAATATTTGAAGAAACAATATAGAGAGGTACAGAGAAAGAATACAAAATTGGGATTAGTTTCAGTGGTGATGGTAGAATCGGCAGAGGATTGATGGACTGTTAACTTTCATGACATTGATTGTTAATTAATTGTTTGAGAAACCTTTACACCCACTTTCAGCTCATATTCTAATAAAACGAATAATTTAAACTGTTACAGACTATAAAGTCAAGGAGTAGGTTTTGATGTTGGATTTCTCTTTGCTTCACATTTCAGTCATAATGCTGTTCTGCCTCCATAAGCTTTCGCCCCAATAACAAAAGATTGAGTGAGTCACTCCATTTCACACTGATTCCTGTGAAGCGCTTTGAGACATCCTTCTAATGTAATAAGGTGCTACACCAAATGCAAGGATTATTATTATTTATTGGCTTAGTCCAGTATTTTAGAGAAGCCCATGATACCAGTAAATTCCTCAGAATGTGTTAAGACTGCTGGACAGGTGGATGGGAGATAGCCAAACTGATGGCTTCAGCTGTGAAAGAAAGCCAATGGTAGCAAATAGTAGTTTACAGTGATGCCAAAGCAAAGTCATATCTTCAACAGAAATCACAGGATTTGGTTTAGGTCAGGGAGTTAGAAACGTCTCATTTATAGAGGCAAATTGAAGCTAAAACATAGATTGATTTGACCTCTGCTTACCACTGTAAACAAGGTATCAGATAGTATTGATGAATAACTGTGTTCATAAACCTTCATAACATTTGAGTCGCTGATTGTATCACTGCTTCATAACCCAGCTCGAGGTATCTGTTATCCTATTGCGATGCACACACACACATGCTGAGATTAATTTTTCTTGCTTAAGTTCAGGTCAGAACGTGTGAGTCAGTTACCTGATCTTCCTTCTCAATAAATCATGATGGGTCGACACTCCCTTCAGCAAGATGAAGTGCATGCCCAGGCTATCATAACTTCCTCTTTATACCACTGTTGTGGATCAGAGGCTGAGCATTTTCTTAAGCACACAGAGATTAAAAGGTCACAGGCTGTTCCAAGCATTTCTTGCAAGAGAGGCTTTGAGCTGATTCCCAATTAACCACAATATAGTGACTGCTTCTCTCCTGCTCTGTCGGTCATTTACTTTCTTTCTTCTTTTCTGAGATTTTTCATCAGTTTTCTCCTCTTTTGCTCTCCTGAAGACCTTTCCTTCCTCTTTTTCCATTTGGAGCACAGTCCCACGGGATAGCTCAGTAGTTAGAGCACTCGCTTTGCAAGCGAGAGACCTGGGGTCGATTCCTGGCAGGGTGCAACCTTGGGCAAGTTTCCTTATTCCACACACCTGATAATAATTCCTCAAAAAAAACAACAATAAATTGGTCATTTCAATCCAAGACTATTTGTGGGACACTGTTGTGCGCAGTTGGCTGCCGCGTTTCACCCACAAATATAGTCAATTCACTTTACAGTCTATTCTGTGAAGTGCTTTGAGACGTGAAAGGCACTGTATCAAATGCAAGTATTATTATTATTATTATCCAGTATCTCATTCAAGTCACCATCTTCTCACAGAGATTCTGTTTTTAATCTGTTTTATTTTCCAGTTCCACTTCCAATTTAAGCCTTCTTAAAGCTTTCCTAAACTCATTCACAATCATGTTTGACCTCATCCTTCAATATACATTAGCCAGTGTGTTTTGGCAAACAATTTAACTGTGGGTTGGCGGATTGGAAACTATGGTATATATACTATGGTATCACACTCACATCTGGACCTATCCTCACCTGATGTCCACACACTGGCATATTCCAGCAGGGGTGTCTGTAGAACAGTAAGTAGCGGGAATCCCAGATTAGTTCAGGCCAATTGAAGCACCCCAACAGCCTTTCCTTGCTATGAACAGGTGGCTCAGCACAGACTCAGATTCAAATCTACAACCTGATGGTCTCTATTCCTGAAGCTGCCAACTGCTGTACTGGGTAGTACCTTATTCAATTGGCCATCAATGACTTATATTAATTTTTAAATGTTTTTCTGATCACATATTTACACATTCTACACTACCAATTAGATTTCCTGTGTTACAATATTTATCCTGTTAGTGTAGCCTGGATTTATAAATAGCTTTGGACAGTCTCTGGGTGGGCTGGTTCACACACTCCCTCTCAGCTGTTAGATAGAAATATTAACAATTTATGGCTCATTTGTGTCCATTGGAATCACAAGTCCATCTAGGGTCAATTTCAGCTTCCTGCTTAGCTCACTATTACTTTAGATACAGCTCAATGTATGTATTCAGACTGGTTCAGCAAGATAATTATAATCCTTGCATTTGACATAGCACCTTATCATGTCGCCGATACTTCTCAAAGTACAGGATTTTACTATGAAGTGTAGGACTGTGTATTTAGTCACTGGATTAATGAATATGAAGGTAAAGCATGAAATGATTTGGGGAATGGCAATTAATAAATAGGGTGAATGGCACAGCTTGAAGGGACAATTCGCGTTCCGTGCTACAAAGTTCTATGTTTCACTGTCAGGAATGCATCATTGAAAGGATCAGATGGGTTGAGAGAGTTCACCTCTGGTCCTAAACCAACCTGTGACCTCTTCTTGACACAACCCACAAGACAGGAAACTTGGGGAGATATTCCATTTGATTTAATGTTTAGTGACCTGCACTTGGCTGAGCACTTGGGCTCCAGTAAGCATTGCGCAATTAGTTGTATTAAAGGATGAGGTCAAACATAATCAACCAGAGGTGAATGTCTTTAGAAGAGCTTTATGGAGGCTTATATGGGAAATGGAAATGGAAAATAAAACAGATGAGAAACTAAATCTTTGTGTGGAAAAAAAGGCTTCAAAGGAAATGGAAATACATATCATCCCATTAGAAAAAGGATAAAGGTAGGAGGCCAAGGACCAGAGTGAATAAATGAGACAGTCAAAGTGGCACATAGGTGCAAGGGAATAGAAAGTAGTGAGGACCTGATGTTATACAAAAGCCAAAACAGAGTAAAAGAACAAAGATAGACACGTATGTTATAGGTAGCAGCAGGAGGTGGTATTTAATAATCTGTTTTCCCATTTTCTTCCCCTCCTGCTATCCAGAAAGTACTGAACAGTTCCCCTTTTGTAACAACCCTACTTTATCCAAAGGGCTTTCTGCATATGTGAAGCTGGACAGTGAATGTCGGCGGACTATTTAATTATGAGTGCTATTACGGTCAAGCCTGACCACAGTGGGAGTGAGAATTGGATAATACCTGCCTGTACATATTTTCAAGAGGGACTCCTGTCACAGTGATCAGAAGAACTTCTAATCAATATTTCTCCTCTTGCCCAGCAGCGCTATGGCCAATTTTATTGCCTCCCGTGCTGAGTGGGCTGTAATAAACTAATGCAGCTCAGACCAGCAATTAAGTTCTTCTAGCCTGTATGACTTAGTTCATTTACCCATTAGGCCCCTGGGGAAAACCCTTAATAACTATTTAAACAATTTGGGTAGATGAAGTGTTGAAAACCAAATTGCTCTTATAAGAGACGCATTGAGTAGACAAGATTCTATCCTGTGTGTAGAGGTCAGTAAAGTATGTCTTTTGATGAAATTCAAGGAATTAAAGAGGGAAATTTCCCACATTTGCCAAAAAGGAAGAGAATTTCACCCAAATTGTGTGTAGGCCATTTAGTCTGTGTGAGGTAAATTGTAGAATCCTTCAGAAGAAATGGAGGCATTTCTGATAATATTTTTGTGAGAAAAGGAAAGATATGTTCACAAATGGAGAGAAACATGAACCTGGAAATAATAGATCAGCTAGTCTACCAGCTTTGTTGCAGAAATTGCTTGAGAGAGTTTTATGAGGATGCTATTAAAATTCATCTGAAGTGTGCAGAGACCGTAGGGAATAGTCGTGGTTGTTTTTAGAAGTTATAGGTCATGGCTCACAAATTTACTGGAATTCTTTGAGGGGGTAAGTAACATCATGAACAAGGGATATCCAGTGAAGGTCATAAAGGTGGATTTTCAGAAGGCGCTTGATAAGAGTTCTGCATTTGTAGGCTATTTTTAAAGAGATGGAGATTTATGAAAGAAATACAGCAAGAAATACAGCAATTTGAAAATGAAAGAATGATGGTGAACGGAAAAAGCTCTGTGTGGGGACTGTGGTTAGTGGAGTTTTGCCAGTATCTGCACTCTCATCCTTGTTGATCTCTATTCATAACAAAATGAAGCAATTAGCCGCTCTTTGTAATGTACTATAGCACTCACTACTGCCCCACAAATTTGTGGTCTGGTGACCAGTGCAGAGGTTCAGAGTATTCAATGGGGAATGTGCAGAAAATAAGCAGATGGGCAAAGAAATGCAAGATGGATTTTAATGTAAATCATCGAATGATATTGCATATTGGACCAGGAAAGAGGGCAATACAAATTGAAGCGGTGTCCATTAGCAGTACAAGATTTCTGTGTGATTGAGCACTGATGGTATTCAGTCGCCACCAGGTTTATAGAAGAAAGACTAATCAATAAAAGAATATGTCTCAGGGCCATTTGATCGTAACTCAAACTAAGTTATTGTAATCGGTATCTAATTCATTGCTAAGGCCACATTTACAATACTGGAAATCTGGAAATCAATATTTCACGCACTCTGAGCTTTTGAGCATTTTCACGTAAAATGTATTTCATAGGCTGTCACATTACCTGCTCAGTCATGCTCCCAGTCCTGCTCAGTAATGTTACTCTCAGCGCAACATGGCTCAACAACGTTATGCTCCCAGCCTAAACTGAGCTATGATTTAAAATATATTTAACAGGGAATAACATTATCTTATTGAGTTTCCATGCCGCTCTGCTACAAGGGCAGTTATTATAAGGGATGTCCAACATCTCTGAAGTTCTGCTTCAGCCCTGATCCTAGCTCCAACATTTCCCATTACATTTAAATTTCCGTTAATTATAAACTTTACACAAAAGTTTCAAGATTTACAATACTGCTTGCCATTTTGTGTGTTCTGCCTTCAAAATAACATTGGTGCATTGCAAAAGGTTCAGGCAGCATTAGGCAGCACTCAGGACTCTTAAGTTACAAGGAAAATCTCACAGAAATAAACCTGTTTCCATTAAGGAAAAGATTGAGAGGAAACATGATCCAAGTTGTAAATTGTTGAGAGGAATGGATAACGTAGAGGTAAACAACAAGTTTAAAATCTGATAATCTCTGAACCAGCTATAGAATTTGGAAGTCTGCATAGCGTCAAAAATACCACCATTCGACTTAATAAAATAATAATGATAATAATAATCATCATCCTTATATTTGATACAATGTCTTTCACTTCAGAAGGACATCTGAAAGTGCTTCACAGGATATTGTGTAAGGTATAATGACTGTATTATGGAGGCAAATAGCAACAACAACAACTTGGATTTATATAGCGCCCTCCATGATGGACGGCGTCTCAGAGCGCTTCACAGTAACGGATCCCGGGGCCGAGCCAGGGGGAGGAGGAGGAAGGTGACCAAAGGCGCGGTCGAAAAGAAAGGTCTTCAGCAGAAAATAGGAAAGGAGGGAGTGAGGTGAAGGGAGTGAGGAAGGGATTTCCAGAGCCTCGGGCCATAGTGGCTGAAGGTACGGAGGACTCGAGGACAAGAAGGAGGCCAAACCTGGAGGAACGAAGGCAATGGGTACTGTTTTGAGGAGAGAGGAGGTCAGAGAGGTAGGGGGGTGTAGAGGAGCACAGGGACTTGAATACAAGGGTGAGGTGCAACAATGCAAGTTATTGTTATAATTGCCTCCATTGTATCTGCATGCAATAATATGGATAATAATGACATTGTACCATTTTTAATTTCATTACTTGTTAAAGATGAACTGGCAACATTTCAACCGTGTTCTTCTGTCCACACAGGGTGGTAAAATTCCAGTGCGATGGACAGCCCCTGAAGCCATCCAGTTCCGCAAGTTTACGTCAGCAAGCGACGTGTGGAGTTATGGAATAGTCATGTGGGAAGTGATGTCTTATGGAGAACGACCTTACTGGGATATGTCCAATCAGGATGTAAGTTACTGTTTATGCCTCGATTATCCCAGCATTTGTTCAGCGTGCGTTGAAGACGAGCTCTACATCATTCATCAATGGTAACTGATCTAAACAAGGAGAGAACAGCGCGTAAGGTTTAGAATGGTATGGTACAAGGAACACTCTATGGTGAAGCTACTCAGCTTGAAGAGTGCTAATTTCAGTGAGTTGAAAAGGGTGGATTGGAAACAAAGATTGATGGGTGAAATGGTAAATGAACAATGGGAGGCCTTCAAGGAGGAGATTGTTAGAGTACAGACCAAATATATTCCCATGAGGGGGCAAGGTAGAGGATCCAAAGCTAGAGCTCTCTGGATGAAGGAAATCGGGATTAAAGTGAAACAGAAAGAGGAGGCTTATGATAACTGTCAGGTTCAAAATACACTAGGGAACCAATCAGAATGCAGAAAATGCAGAGGAGAACTGAAAAAGGAATTAAGAGCGGCAAAGAGAGCATATGAGAAAAGATTAGCGGGTAACATAAAAGGGAACACTAAAGCCTACTATAAACATATAAAGAGTAAAAGGACAGTCAAAGGAAGGGTGGGGCTGATTTGAATTGACTGTACATTTTGTGGGCATATGTTAAAGGGGGTTCAGGAGCAGAGAGTCTTGGGGGTTCAAATACACCGGTCTTTGAAAGTGGCAGGACAGGTTGGTAAAGCTGTTAAAAGAACATGGGATCCTTGGCTTTATAAATAGAGTTATAGCGTACAAAAGCAAGGACGTTCTGCTAAACCTTTATAAGTCGGGAGGATGTCCCAAAGCGCTGGGAAGGACGTCTTATTTATTCATTTGTATAAATAAATTACAAATGTATGCAGGCTCCTAATTAGTCTGTGCAAGAGAATGATAATTAATTCCTCATAGACCCCATAACGACAACAATTGAAATGTCTCTTGTCTTAAATGGAAGCCGCTGCATGATTTATTAGCTTTTCCAATTCAAATGATAGGCACCAAAGACCATATCTTGAAGAGCCAATTTTGTGTAAGGCTTGGAATTGCTATTGCGTGACAGCTCTCAGTGTAACTCAGGTAACTCAGACTGTCAGAAAGGAGAAAACACAGATCCAAGCATGGCAGCAGCAGAGAAAGATTCCCAATCCCTGGACAGAGCTTGCCAAGGGAAAGTTTCATTCTCTGACACATCTCTTCCATACTTTATTTAGTTCTAAATTGGCCTGACAAAAACGTTAGAAACCTTCGGGGTCAGTCAGGTAGGGCAACAAAGTGAGGCCAGTGAGGTTGCTTTTAACACAGGTATGTCCATACTTTCCCCACAATAGAATACAGGAGTTATATAGAGAAAACTCCTGGGACTTTTCATGTCACAGATGACAGCAATGGTTTCTGTTCTGGATCCTTTCCTGTAGCCTATAATTTTTATGTTAAAATGTTCTATCTACTGCCCTAAGTCAGTGAGGTGGGAGGGAAGAGTGTAGGGGAGGAAGAAATTAGCATCCTCTCTGAAAGAAAAATAATACTTCCTCGCTTATCTTCAATGTTGTACAAAATGTTTTATAAGTGCAGTTCAGAGCATGTTTTTTCAATTTGCGAATTTCAGTTTTCAATCCTAATGGGTGTGAGGGAAAATCAAATTTATATTGATACCTTATCTGTTTGTTTATTCCTTCCCTAGGTTATAAAGGCTATTGATGAGGGCTATCGTCTCCCTGCTCCTATGGATTGTCCACCTGGTCTTCACCAGCTGATGCTTGACTGCTGGCAGCAGGAACGGAATGAGAGACCCAAATTCGATCAGATAGTGGGCATCTTGGACAAAATGATCCGCAATCCAAATACCCTGAAGGTTCCCCTGGGCTCCTGCAGTAGGTGAGGAAAACCCAAACGTGTATTTGATGTATTGGAGGGACAGAGAGGTGAATACTACCTCTTGCATTGATTAAATGAGTTGTGCTTATAGAATTGTCGTAGAAGGATGATATACAGTTTTAGCTTCTTAAATCTGTCAACATCGCAGTACACATATTCTGGAGGTTAATTTGCAGTATTACTATGATTCCTTAATAAAAACATGACTTGAAGTACCATTAGTTATTGGAAGAATTTTTTGTTATCACCTGCTTTTCATTCCTTATTAAGCAATTCCTTCTCAAAATACTGCAAACTCAGTCCCATTGAGTTTAAATCATGAATTATATGGGAGGTACAGAAAGAGCAAAGAGGAAGGGATTGGCATGCATCAGTCTCATTGAAACCATCAAGCTTGAGTAAAAATGTTAAAAGCAACATTGATTTAGTAATTTCATGAGGCATGTTATTGTTGTTACCTCCCTTTTTGTCAGAGAAAAATTCAAGTACATTTGACAATGTTTAAGAAGGTGACAATGGTCCATCATTTGTGCTGTAAGCAAATAATGATTATTATACAGATTTATGCTGAACACAAAAACAAGAGAAGGCTATTTGGCGTTTCAAGCTTGATCTGCCTGTTTATTAGTTCATTGCAATCCTACTGATGTAGCGAGCACCTCATCTATAGGATTCTATCAGTATTTTACGTGAAGTGAGTAAGAAAAGTCTCAACAAAGACTTGGTGAATTTTGACTCACAGCACAATGCTGCCTTAATGTATCACCGAGTTAGCAATCTCACATAGAAGGGCAAGTATGGGAAATAGAAAATATCGCAATGGTATAGTAGAGAGTGTTCCTCTGAAGTTAGGGGTGAACCAGATTGGTTGGGAAGAGCAGGGTGAGCTTTACATTGCATCTAACTGACCTTCAACTGAGCTGAGAATGCTGACACTCCTTATCTGAAATGGGAAAAATTTCATGTCCCAGGAACAAGATCTTTCACTAGATTGCCCTTAAATTCACCCCCAAATATTAACTACACATCAGTATTCATAATTGTGTAAACTAGCCATGTTAACCTGTCCACTCCCTCTGCTCAGCAAGCTCTGGCCTGCTCCACTTCCACCGCCCTGCCCTCCACAAGAACAAGAACAACAACAAGATTCCATTTATAAAGCGCCTTTCACGTCAGGAGGACGTCCCAAGGCGCTGCACAGTTGGGTCATGACCCGAGCAGGGGGGAAATGGTCAGGGTGAGGGGAGGGAAGGGAGGGAGCGAGGAGGGGGGAAATGGTCAGGGTAAGGGGAGGGAAGGGAGGGAGCGAGGAGGGGGAAGAGAGTCGAGAGGGGAGCTGAAGGCTCGGTCAAAGAGAAAGGTTTTGAGACCGGCCTTGAAGGAGGAAAGGGAGGAAGCGGCGAGGGCACTGGGGGATGGAGTTCCAGAGCCTGGGGGCTGAGAGGCTGAAGGCCCGACCACCGATGGTAGGGCGGTTGGGGCGGGGGACGTGGAGCAGACCGGAGCCAGAGGAACGGAGGGTACGGGCAGGTAGGTAGGGGGATAGTAGGTCGGAGAGGTAGGAGGGAGCAAGGCCGTGAATGGCCTTGTAGGTGAGGATGAGGATCTTGAAATCAAACCCCTCCTGATCCCAATCCCCTGCTCGGATCCAAATCTCTGAATGTTCACCTCTTCAGGATGTCTTCCTGACATAAAAGGCACTATACAAATGTAATTTGTTGTTGTTGTTCCTAACTTCCTGAAGCTGCTTTTTTTTTAATGTGAGTGATCCAGTTAATAAAATACCAGGAGTTTGGATGAGTGAATCACCTTCATTATTTAAATGCACCGCTCTTATGCATTGTTCTTTTTCTACACAGGCCAATTAATCCTCTGCTAGATCAGAACACTCCCGACTTCACCTCCTTTCGTTGTGTGGGCGACTGGTTAGAGGCCATCAAGATGGAACGGTACAAGGATAACTTCACAGCTGCAGGTTACAGCACGCTGGAGTCTGTGGCCAGGATGACTATTGAGTGAGTTTGACGTTGAGCAATCAGAACCAAACTAAACCAGACTGACATGTGAGACTAGATTGCCTCTTTAGTGTGTGTTGCTACTATTTGTACCACACATCCCTGGGGTGATAAACCAGACAGCTATCTCTGAATGATTATTCTTCACCCACACGTCAATTGGGAGACATCAGATATTATTGGGCGAGGAACATTGCAGTGGCTATTAATTATTTCTTTATCTGGATTCTACACTTTTCTGGTGGACATAAACAAGGCAGAGGAATTGCAAAGCTGCCCCCCAACACACACATACCCAACGCTTTGATATTGTCTTACCATTATTGTTCCCCAACCAATCTTAGGATGTGGAAAATTGTTTGGTTAAAGATGTTGTTATGATCATGATGTATATTTTAAGATAAGCTCCTGTGGATTTTTAAACCTTGAGATAGTTTGTTGTGATTTTAGCACAATTATAATGCCACAGGTGGCATATTAAAGTGTGGAGGTGTGAGTTATTAATGAAGCCCATATACTAGAAGAGTTTACTGTTCCTATTAACATTTTATTGTCTTTTGGGAAAAAAGTATAGAAGAGAAAACTATACACGGATTAAAAATAATAAAATCCTAATAAAAATAACAATGGTTATGAATTAATGTAAAGCATTAACTCATTGTGCTATATATCATGCTGTTTGGCTACAGAATTCCCCTTCTCCCAACTCTTCTCTTTGTCTTCTCTTATTCAAGGCCTTGTGGAAGGTTCTAACTATTATATTTATAGCTCATTCGCTATCTCTTTCACAAAAAATTCCATTCATTATTTATACTTATTTTTAGTAATACTTGTATAATTGATTTTTAATCTTTTTTTGAAAACATACTAAAACAACTATCAGCATTATTAGTCTATAACTTGCACAAAACTAACATTCTAGCAAACTGCAGTCGCCAATACCTTGCAGTAGTTGCACTGATCATCAGTAATCAGAATTCCTGCTGTACCCACTAAACATAGCCTTGCATATTAACATAGTAAAGTTCAAGCAAGAATAGACCATACAGTTATCCATCCAATTTACTAACAGTTTCATGTGGCGCATCTGTCAAGTAGCCCTGAATCCATTGCATTTCCTGGAACTTGCTTATTATTTTTTGAAAGATGTTATTGTTTTTTATTCCACCACTCGTAGCTGTTAAATCCTCCAAGTCTTCCTACTACACTCCACAACCTACACTCTGTTCAAGAGTGAAAAGTCCCAGATTGACTAATCTTTCCTCATACATTTATAACTTTCTCCTCTTACTTTTGGAATATATGCAGAAGCTCAGCGGTAGTGTAGGATTTCAAAATATGATGTGCAATCCACTAATTGAGTCAGAGGTTCATGCTTGCGACTCCACACGTGGCGAGATCCTGATCCAAACTCAGCTGTCACAGAGAGATACTGAGCACAAGCTGTTCTCTTCATCACAGGACAGAGGGCAGGTCAGAGGTGCTCATGAACCTTCCAGCAGTGGTTTGAAGAGTGACTTTGGCAAACCTGAGGACAGGTTACTTGCCCACCCTCTTGACCACAGAATTGTACTTGAGGGAGAGTTTTAAAATAGTTCAGGAAAATAATGATTTGAGAAACAGGTTTCATCTAGTTTCGCAAAAATACTGTTCTCATTTTGTATATTATCTAAAACAAGAAATAACTATAAGATATGAAGGCATTGAAATATGGTTTGGTGGATCAAATTTTTCTTTTGTTATTTACATCAAATACAAAAATCTAGATACAAATGGAAAAAACTTTCAGAATGTTCTGTCAGTCCTGAGGGCTTATTTCTAACATTTTTATATGCTGTTTGTATTATAATTTAGTCTATAGTTTAGCATTACTAAATGATCACGTCACACTGCTGTTGGGCAGGAACTTTACAATCTGCCTTTAGGATTCCCACCAGTAATCAGTAATATCACCATCAATCAGGATAACAGTAACAGTGGGGTTCAGAATGGACAGTACAGATCTGCAGACTTTCTCTCGTTGATATGGTTTCTAAAAGAAAATTCTCACTGTGGCCCATATTAATGATAATAATTCTTGCATTTGATATAGCGCCTTATCACATCTTCGAGACGTCTCAAAACGCTTCACAGAATATACTGTAAAGTAGATTGATTATATTTTGTGGGCGAAATGCGGCAGCCAATTGCACACAACAGTGTCCCACAAGCAGTCGTGAATTGAAGTGACCAATTTATTATTATTTTTTTTTGAAGGAATTATTATCCCTGAAAAGCGATCCGCCAATCGACTAACAACCGGGTTCCTACTTAATACTAGGTAAACAGAGGCGTGTGGAGTAAGGAAACTTGTCCAACATTTTACCCTGCTGGGAGTTGAACCCAGGTTCTCACTTGTGAGGCAATATTCTCCTCTTCTCCTTGGGCAATTCAATGGCAGCTACAATTGTAGTAAATAAATGTGTTTCCAAACACAGACATCGCACCACAATGTGCCAAAGCTACAGCAATAGACCAACAACTCTCAGAGTTACTGTCTTCTCAGACCATGATTAAATACCTCAATGTTCAGTAAACCTCAGAGACAGAGGAAACCTGGAAATTTCCCAGCTTAATAATCTTTACAATTACTTTTCTACTGAATAATAATATTTGATTTCCCTGTAACATTTTTAGTTGTTGAAGTAAAAGGCATTCATTCTTCTCTCTTACGTCTCCAGTGTTTTCTTTTCCTCTTCCTTTCCGACTCTTTCAAACTCAATTGATGTGTGGTGTTAACCCTTCACCATGGTGTATGTGCACCCTCCCAGATGGATGTGTCTCTCTGTCATGCTTAATTCGATTTAAGTCATTTCTCTTGGAGGATATTGTAACATTTAGATGGAGGATTGCCCTGTAAGAGCCTAATTATTTCCACTAGGTGTACATTGCATGGAGGTGTGAATTCCTAACAATGCACCATTGCGCTGTACTGTACAGTAGATGAGTAGCACACAAACCAACGTTTGTTACCACTCTGCATTGATGGCTCCAAATGTTTCAGTATAATGTGGTCACTCCGTTTCAATATGATATTCCTACTGATAATATGAACTACGTTTCATTCCATTGACTTTCCACCACCTTAAGATAAGGTTCCATACATATTTGTGTGGAACACTCAGTAGTTTTGTTTGGAGATTCGTAAGCCTGGTAATGGATTTCTGCAGGTGTCAGACATTTCAGATGACCAAAGAAAATAGTCTGATCAGTGTGGAATAACTCCAGATGAGTGAACATGTAACCATTTGGGAATTGTGACATGACTAAAACTAATTGGATCAGCCCCCATATAATTGGTTTAATTGATGCTTTTAGTACACCAGCAAAAAAGACGTACCGCTGTGCCAAACCAACATCAGAAATTGTAAAGGAGAATTAATACCGCCCAAATGCACCTTGACACCTGGAATGGATATTATCCGCATGGCAGCAGGTCTGTGTGAAACAACTACTGCTAGGCAGATTAGCGCTCACTCGTTCATTAACGAAGATGCAAATATGGATCAAGGGGGAAAAAAAGGAATTCTTTAGATAGGCTTGGGAACAAATGTATGAAAGAACAAGTTGTGAGATGAGAAATAAGAAAGATGAGGTTGTAAATGAAATAAACAGAATCGCAAAAGATTTAGAAATAGATTTGTTCCACAGTATTATCACTCTAGAAAGTATTTCTGTTCTGTATCAGATGGATGGGTTGCTTTTATGTTTATAGGTCCGTGAGGAAATAGTTATTTAAAAACCTGGTAGGCTGACTATCCTAAAAGCTCAGTTGGTAAAACTACTACCTAATGTGAAACTGATAGATAAACTGGGGAGGTTTTGATTTGAAACCTATCTTGTGTTGAAATAACTGAATCTCAGGTTGGCAGCAATCAAGGTGCTACAGTTAGCCTCAGTAGCTTTGGTTAGGGAAAAGGAAAAATAAGTCAGGATTTCCGCTCCTGATCATTGTCAAGTGACCCCTGTGAAAGGTGCCCGTGTGCGATGTCAAGCAATAACATGGTGTATCTGTGACATTGAAAATCTTATTTCGGCATGGATCAATGTGCTCAATTATGGAGGGTAGAAAATGAAGGGAAAAATTTGAGTGCTTAAATATTCAGAGATTGTGGCATTACATCCTTACAGTTATTTTTCTAAATGATGGGTGGAAGTAGAGGGAGCTAGCTGTAGCAGAAACTTTAAACTATTTATTTGACCACTGGTGCTGTTCCCAATTAATGGAAAAAGCTAATGTTTCAGTGAGGAAAATGTTCCCTGGTGGGAAAGTTACAGCATTCTTGGTGTTGGAAAGAAAATCACTTTTTGAACAGTACGGATTTGTCTTCCACAATAAATGGAGGGTACAATTTTCTACCTTCCAATAATAGTTTTGGATACCAGTTGTTTCACAAAGTGCTCTGAACAACAATGAAGGCATTTAATTGTAGCTACAAGCCAATTAATCCTAGTTAAATATATTTTCCGCTGTGCTGAGGCTTTCCAGACATGGGTTACTAATCATGGTTAGTGGTAATGCTTTGATCTACTCACAGAGCACTTTAGCTTTGGCAGAGTGTGTTGAGAACTCAGTAATTGCACAGCCGAAACTTACTCATTCCAATTCCTAAGTGGCTTTCGTAGAATTCAAAGAACATCCTGTTGAGTGTATAGTTCCTGAGAACAGCAAAATAAAAGTGTGTGTATTGAATGAATGTATCTTATTGATTAAGATTATGGTGGACACAATGGAACTGTCTATACTAACAATAATCATATAATAATATACAGCACTAACCTACTAACATACTGTTATGGTGAAATCAATGATTAACTCACTCCAAACAGTCTTGTTGTCTTTTATCATGTTCAGTAATTGCATCTGCAGTTTGCATAGATTAACTAATTCATATCTTTCCAAGTAATGGTTTTGACTTGGAGAGATGGATTTAGATAGAACAGTAAATAGACATAGATGCTGTGGAAATAAGAAACGGTAAAAAGAGATGCCATCTATTTCAGGCTGGTGTACATTCTTCATGAAATAGGGAATCTCAAAGCATTATGAGTATAACATACTTGTGAAAAACATCTGCACTTCAATCCCTTTTCTTTATATTGGAAGTCTCTTTTTTGAAGAATTCTTGGATTCTGCTAGGGAATAGCAATGCTGCAGAGAGTGCTATTTGTCAAGATTTGTCTCAGATATGCATTTCTTCATTTACTGTATGTACTTAGAGAAGTGCTCAGAAAGAAAACTCAGTAGAAAGCAATATTAAAGTAATTAAATGGCAGCCTCCATTTAAACGTTTGAAGCCCCATAGGATGGATAGTATAATATTGACTGAACCATCAAGCAGCATCCTGCCGGGAAACACTGACCTTTGTAAACCATTGTTACATAGGTTCCAGCAAATCCCAACAAGGATATTTATCTTTGTTTATTTTCCCTTCATGGACCATCATTGTCAGTCAACAAGAACAACAACAACAAGTTTCCATTTATAGAGCGCCTTTCACGTCGGGAGGACGTCCCAAGGCGCTGGACAGTTGGGTCAGGACCCGAGCAGGGGGGAAATCGTCAGGGTGATGGGAAGGAAGCGAGGGAGCGAGGAGGGGGTAGAGAGTCAAGAGGGGAGCTGAAGGCACGGTCAAAGAGAAGGATCTTGAGACCGGCCTTGAAGGAGGAAAGGGAGGAGGCAAGGCGAAGGCACTGGGGGATGGAGTTCCAGAGCCTAGGGGCTGAGAGGCTGAAGGCCCGGCCACCGATGGTAGGGCGGTTGGGGCGGGGGATGTGGAGCAGACCGGAGCCAGAGGAACGGAGGGTACGGGCAGGTAGGTAGGGAGATAGTAGGTCGGAGAGGTAGGAGGGAGCAAGGCCGTGAATGGCCTTGTAGGTGAGGATGAGGATCTTGAATTCGATCCTCTGGGGGATGGGGAGCCAGTGGAGGCGAGCGAGGGTGGGAGTGATGTGGTCCCGAAGCCTGGTGCGGGACAGTACACGAGCTGCAGAGTTCTGAATGACCTGCAGCTTGTGGAGGGAGGTGCCGGGAAGGCCGGCGAGGAGAGAGTTCCCATAGTCCAGCCTTGAGGTGATAAAGGCGTGGACCAGAGTTTCAGCAGCGTGAGGGGTGAGGTAGTGCCGTAGTCTGGCGATGTTTCGGAGGTGATGGAAGGCGGTGCCAGTTGTGGCGCGGATATGAGGAAGAAAGGACAGCTCAGGGTCGAACAGAACCCGAGGTTCCTGACTGGCTTTGAGAGGTGGAGAGTGCAGCCTTGGATGCTGATGCTGTCAGCGCCTGAGGTGCGGAGGCGCTGACACGAGCCAATCAGGAGGGCCTCAGTTTTGCGCACGTTGAGCTGTAGAAAGTTGTCTCTTGTACAGGACTCGATGTCGGACAGGCAGGCTGTCGTGGAGTTGAGGGTAGAGGAGGAAAGGTAGAGTTGGGCGTCATCCGCACATGTGGAAGTTAACCCCATGTCTGCGGATGATGTCACCAAGGGGGAGCATATAGAGGGTGAAGAGGAGGGGACCGAGGACAGAGCCCTGAGGGACACCGCACGAGACAGTGCGGGGGCTGGAGGAAAAGCCGTTTGTGGAAACAAAATGAAGACGGTGGGAGAGGTACGACCTAAACCACTCAAGGACAGGGCCTTGAAGGTTGAGGTGGGAGGACAAGCGGTGGAGGAGGATAGCGTGGTCGATCGTATCGAATGCTGCCGACAGGTCGAGAAGGACGAGGAGGCAGAGGGAGCCCTGGTCGCTGATGTCAAGATGTCATTGGTGACCTTGACCAGGGTGGTTTCTGTGCTATGAGCACCAAGGAAACCCGACTGAAGGGATTCGAATAATGCATGGGTGGAGAGGAAAGAGCGCAGCTGGGAGGCGACAACTCTTTCAAGGACCTTGGACATGAAGGGGAGGTTGGAGATGGGCCGGTAGCTTGATAGCTGCGACGCATCAAGGGAGGATTTTTTCAAAGTGGGAGTGATGTTTTTTAGGGGAATAGGAACAGAGCCAGAGGAGAGGGACAGGTTGATGATGCGCCTTGGGACGTCCTCCTGACGTGAAAGGTGCTCTATAAATGGAATCTTGTTGTTGTTGTTGTTGTTGGGGCAAGGAGGTGGAGCTGAGAGATAAGGAGTGGAGTGGGGATGGGGTCAAGGGAGCAGGTGGTGGGTTTCAGGGACAGGATGAGTTTGGTGACAGAGGGTGGGGAAACGGGTTCGAAGGTGTGTAGGGGAGGATGGGTAGGAGTCGGAGTGTGGGAGGGAAGGGGTGGGGGGTGGGTGGAAGTTGGAGGGGGAGTGACCGCGGAGCGGATTCTTGGGAGGTGTGGGGTTCCCAAAGCGATTAAGGGTGTTGCATCTGAAACCTTCAAACCTCCTTCACATTCTCTCAAAATGACCTTGTTGCAAGCTCATTATGAAGACATTGAGTACTGCAGGGCTTCCTTACTTTGACTGATTGGTTAGTATTACCATTCATATTTTAGCAGTCAAATAAATTGGTCTGTTACTGACCGATTTCAGTGTAAATGGCCATAATACCTGACCACAGAAACATTCCAGCACTGTATAAAAAAGCCAGCAGCACAATCCTGAAAATTGGAGGTTTGATAGAAAAATGATAAGACTTCAAGATGAAGGAAGAAATTGAATTGTAGTCAATAAAGTGAGGGTAATATTTACAAGTCAACTTAACCAAATCATGACGTAACAAATGAATTGGAAACCCTTCTCAAGAGCTTGCGGTTCTAATGAAAATTCACAGGAAGCTAAGTTATTTGTAAATTCTGAAATAAATAAACTGAATAAGAAATGTGGGTTATCAATTGTGATATTTCCAATTAGAATATTCAAGCCATTGATCAGGGGGACCCTGCTGTTCACAGTATTTGTAAGGTACCTCAAGGGTATTGTAATTGGAGAGTCTAGATTTTTAGTTAATATTGTGTGTGTGGAGAAACAGGATTTAAAGCGATAAATGTTTCACCATTATGTATGGTTGTATTTGGATAGGCAAATAAAATACTGTAACTCCCAACTTGATCCATAAAGTACACATCCAAATAGGTGACCCTATCATTTAGTAGAGCAGTAGTGAGAGCCCACATGTTGGAGGTTATTTTCCACTTGATGGGAAACTTACCAACTTGGCAGCATGCATGTATAAGGCATTTTCTCACAAATGTATTAAAGTGAAGAATAACTCCCATTTATTGTGTTCAGTTTCAGTCATTGCAGTCAATGTATCTGTAGTTTCATGCTATAGTTACACAATGTAACTGAATTAGGGATGGGAACATCGAAAGTATTTTTTATATGAATGAGCTATTGAAAATTTGAAAATCTCAAAATGCCATTGTGAGTTGAGTGATTCAATTTCTAACCATGCTGTTTTTCTGTTATACAGGGACGTGATGAGTTTGGGGATTACACTAGTAGGCCACCAGAAGAAAATCATGAGCAGCATTCAGACTATGAGAGCCCAGATGCTGCACTTGCATGGCACAGGAATCCAAGTGTAACAGATGTGTTTCCCTTAGTACAAAGGGAACAGACTTTTACAGAAATGTGGGGGAAAAAAGATGCCGTTTGCTGCTAAGTACTGTCTGTACCACCATTCCTTCCTGATAAGAATCAGAGAATCCAGGGAGATGTGTAGAGATGTTCTACAATATTCCCCTAGGCCATCTAAAGAACAAAAAGGACATAAATTAGGACACAGTATTGATGGTTGGAATATGCGCATTTTGAAGAAACTACTACCTGCAACATATAGAACTTTACATATACACCCAAAAAAACTGAGCGCTCTAACCTCCTTTTTGTCTACTGGGCTTTTTAAAAGTGTAAATATCTGTTACAAAGACTATATTTGTCAAAAAAATCAACACATTATGGTTGATCAATGAAACTATTTTCAAGATTTCTGCTTGCTGACTTATGTGGTTATTCAGCCATCTTCTCATTAATAGACTGCAATATTGGGTAGAAGCAAAAGAAGGTTACCTCTTTGCCCCGTCTGGGTTTTTATCAGTCTTTGACCTGCCTCTATCCGCATTACCATATTTTATCTGCTTAATGATTTAAAGTTAGTTGGTATTTCATACATGGTGCACTTAGGCCCTTTTAATTGGGTATGCTTTCCATTTCACTGCACTTGACCTTCCTAAGACTATTCAGTGTGATGAAACCATTTCTATAGTTTTCGGTAGAAAGTTTGCCATTTCCTAAGAAATTCATTGAGTTTATAAGAACCTTTATATAAATAAGCTGGATTGTGTGTGTAAAAAAAGGGGTAATATTTGTCAGATCACATTAGAATTTTCTGGCATAAATCCAATCTAACGGTCCACCGCCAAATTTGGCTGGATCGCATCAAAACCTCCCCTTACCTCAGCCAAATTGTTCTTCCACTCCGAGATTATCCTGGAGGCCAAGGACAACCCCCAGGCTCCTCTTCTCCACCACAAATTAACTCCTCTGCCCACCCTCCCTCTCCTCAAACTCCAAATGCCAGGAGACTTTCTCAAGTCAAAAATCGATGGGATCCAGTCTGCTGCCTCTATCCTTGCTACCACCACTGCCTCCCCACCTACTCCATGCCCATCTGGCCTCCAGTTAATCCCTCCCTCCACACTTTTGACCCCTTTTCCCTTCCCTCATCTCCATCATTTCCCAAATGAAGCCCACCGTCTGTTCCTTGACCCTACTTGTACACCTTTCCTTATCTCCCAGCTTGACCTACTTGCCCCATAATAACAGACATTGTCATCCTCTCTCTGTCCACTAGCTTTATTCCCACCTACTTAAAAACAGCCGTCATCAATCCCAGGCACAAAAAACCTTCACTTGCCTCTGTTCTCTAACTATGGTCCCATCTCCAACCTTCCTTTTCTTTTCTTTCCAAGATTCTGGAATTAGTTTTCTTCCCAACTTCAGACTTCCTCTCCCTATATAAACCCCATTAATTGGGTTTCCATGCTGTCGACAGGAAAGAGGCAGCCTTGGTCAAAGTTATAAAAGATATTCTGTCCATCTGTGACCAGGGCTGTGTCTGTTTCTTCATCGTTCTCAATCTCTCTACAGCCTTCGACACTGTTGACCACTCTATTCTTCTCCATTGCCTTTCCACTCAGCTCCACTTTCATAGTTCAGTCCTTGTCAGTGGTCAGGCCTTCAGCCTTTCTGTCCCATCCTCTGGACCTTCATCCCAGAATCCCTCCAGTTCACCTCCTGCCATGCCAACTTCAAGGCCTGACAGAAGACCTTTCTCTTTGATCGTGCCTTCGGTCATCCTCTCACCCCCTCCGCCCTTTGCCCTCCATCCCTCTTGATTCCAACCCCCAACTCAGGTGCCAACTTTTAACTGTCTGGCGCCTTGAAATATCCTCCCAACATGAAAGGTGTTATATAAATGCAATTTGTTGTTTTCTAAATACAAATACAGCTACAGCGACCCTCATAAAATGAAATAACAATAGTAATAATAAAAAGACATTAACAGTATAAAAAGAAAGGCTATTGTGTGCCTAATGAAAACAATCACTCTTTCTGCACTTCATAGATTTGACCAGTCCAAGACAAAGAATACATTGAACCTGTCAGTGAAGTGAATTGACAAATCCTGTGCGAATGTTAGGAAATTTATGTTCCAAATGAGCTGAGATTACAGTATATGGAATGAATGTGAAATTTCCTAAAGTTTCAAAATGTGGGCAGGTTGTGCATCCTTAACAGAATCTACAGATGAGATAAGTAATCTCCAATCACTCCAATCCCAGGAAACCTCAAGAAAAATCAATTTTTTCTTGAGCGAGTTGGGTTAAAATCCAGGTCCAATTCAAAATTCCAGATTTTTAAACTAATTTGACATGGGTAAAGTAACTAAAACAAAGGGTGTTGGCCTCTCAAGTCAACCAAAGTCAGAAGAACCTGAATTTTGCCAACCCAGATTTTTGCTCATTCATTTGCGGACATTGTGGCAACATGGCCTTCGTTGACTACAAGAGGATTCCAAAGAGAGGAGCCATTACGTTGCTTTTGATTGTGTAATGAAAGATCCCACGGATCAGATTGAAATTCCAGTCTCATTCATTGGCGTTGCAAGATGTGAACGCTTATATGTAAAAGCTGTAATTTATTTATACTGTCATTTTTTTACACAGGTCTGTCTGTAGTGAATTCAGTACACATTGAAAATGCACTATATTTTTCTATTTCACTTACAGAGAATCACAGACAACTCATTTATTTTCAGTTGTACATAATAATAATTTAAAAAATCCCATTTAGGACCAAAGAAGGTTTTAGATTAGTAAACAATGTCTAAAAAATAATCTGAAGAGATGACATTTCCTAAATTTTTCAAATCATTTGCTGTGTTTTTATAATTGTTTTTTTTTCACTTTTTTTGTTGTACATTCTATTATTTATTTGTTTTTAATTTAGGAACCAGTATAATTTCATGAAGATATTTCACCAGGATATGTTTTCTTCTTTTAACTTGGAATGTGTATAAATATTTTATTAGGGTTTTTTTTTGCTCTGTTATTCTGATGGTCTTATTTTTCAATTCTTTGTAAAAGACTGTAAATATATTTTTTTGGAAAGTACTTTCATGGTTCCCAGTGGTTTTATTTTGGTCAATTTTATTGACTTTTGCGACTTTTTATTTCGCTTTGTTTATCCTTCTGAAGTCTAAGTAATTATGTACTGTCATCATGAATAATTGTCTGACCACATTTGCCAGAGGCAATTTCTTCTGAATAAGCATGAATATTGGGTCAAGAAGTTTATGTTTGCTCATGTGCTGAAGTGTGGTTCCCTCCCCGTGCCCCCCCGACCCCACCGCCCACCACCACCCATCACTTTAGTGGAATTTTGTAAATGGATGGAGCCAAAAGAAGGTGGCCATGTCTCATACCACAGACAATGGAGCCATATCTTTCCCAATGAGATCTTTGTATTTCTGAAGTATCGAAAGATATTCCTTGGTCTGCAGCTTCATTGAAACCAGATGTAATCCCTTCTGTAAAATGGTCAACTTGATAATATTAATGACGGAAAAATACAGTGGTAAGACAGGGAGCACTGGTATGACGTCCAGGGAGAATATGAATTAGGAATAATCTGAGAAGAGCCCAGATATTACAGTGCAATTTGGGATATTCACAAATTAATACATCAGTAGCAAATCCTGCAGGTACGCTGATTTATCTCAGGCCACCAATCTGAAACTCTGTTTGGTCACTGAATTCATGTGGTGACTAATAGGTAAGAAGTATATTTAGACTTTACAGAACATAATTACTTGAGTGTGTCAAATATTAACACATGATTTCTTCGATGACTACACTTATTTTGCTTGCAATTGGGAAGCTCATATCTGCTCTGAATATGTTATCACTGGTGGTGATTTTGTCAAAACACATAACTGCACTTTGAAGAGCTTCAAAGGATTTACGTAAAGTCTACTTACAGTACAATACAAATTTACATTTATATAATGCCTTTCATATCAGAAGAACATCCCAAGGTACTGGACGGCAGAGCAGGGTGGGTTGGTATGGTTTGAGGAGGTTTGAGAGATTTAAAGATTAGTATGAGGATTTTGAACTTGATCATCTGGGGGATGGGGAGCCAGTGGAGCCAGGCAAGGATGGGGGTGGATAAGCTATTGGAGCCTAGTGCAGGAAAGGACATGAGATGCAGAGTTCTGGATAGTCTGCAGCTTCTGAAGGGGAGAGGCGGATAATCTGGTGAGCACAGAGTTGGCATTATCTAGCCTGATGATGATAAATGCATGGATTATATATTGTAGACCTACGCAGCATTGTGAAGCGATACAGTACACACACTCTCAAACAGCCACACACACAGTGCCACACACACACACAAAAGAAGGTATGAAGTGGATGACTAATTTTATCTGGGGGATTGTTGGCCAGGACACTGGTAAGGACAGTGAGGACATGCACGGTGCCAAGGTGAGAAAATGGATACATCTATCTGGGGGAAATCAGACCCATCACATCAACTCTGCACTGATGGGAAATCTCACATATTCTTGCACATTAAGATTTCAGATAAAGCAAATCATTGACAAGGCTTGGTTTACTCCTTTACTTGAATCAGTAAACCAATCTTGTTATCTGCACACAATTGCCCTACGCTCACATTGAGTAAACATACCTCTGCTGCTGCCGGGGCTGCACCTGACCTGAGAGTGATCGATAATAGTAATGATAATAATAATGCCCATAATAGGAAAATATTGCATTTCCCTGTGTTTATGAAATGCACAAAACATTCAGGGGGGGCGAAAGTATCCAAATTTTAAGCAATGATACATTCCTGGGAGCCCACGACTATTTTCAGTACGAGTCGGCTAAGTGACTCAAGCCCCTGTGGCACTCAGATTGACCCTGTTTTCAAAGCATTGTGTGATATATTGCCAGATATGACTGATATTCAAGATAACCTTGAGATGATGAGCGAAAATATATCTTTAATGTCCTCTGTATCTTTTCTCTTTATTCATTTGTCTTTCTTATTTGAAAAGACTGCAAAGAGCATATTCTGTTCAGAAATGCTGCACTGAAAATACCATGTTTCACAGAAGATTCCAGGTGATGATCGAATCTCTGAAATGTTGCATTTTCAGCCATTTTCCCCATTGAATGCAACAATTAATTAAAAATGCTTGAACAGCTCGTGTTAGATTCTGGCTGTGAAATGAAAATGGCCATGCATTGACAAATGCTATTTTATGCCTCAGTAGATGTGAGGTACAAGAAACACAAAGGATGCATACAATTGCTACTCTGCAGCTATGTTAATCTGTCACAATACGCAAGTAATAGAATTGACAGCCTCTGCAATAACACAAAATACAGTCTAAAAATGTATTTGCGTATAACTGGACATGTTTGTTTGCACAGCGTGCATTAATTCTCATGGTTCTGCCACTTGAATTTATTCTTTTATTGCATTTTAATAGCATTAGTAGTTTGTGAATCTTACAATATCCCTCACGACACTACAGCAATCCCACAGGCCCCTGACTGTCAGAGGATGATGGCTTTATTCTGGAAAAATATTCTACTCGAGTGGGTGGAGCCTGGCTTAGTAGCAATCAGTAGGCTTTTGAATATCATTTCATTGCATGCATCGCATCAGGGATGCAGTTTGTTCTATTACTCAAAGGATGCAACACACTGGGCTACTTGTTCCAAGCTACATGTTACATTGTGGCTTATCTAAAAGTAACATTGACAATGTAAAGTTTACCCCTACAAATAAGAAACAACATTAATCTATACCCCAGAATTCAGAACCAATTATGTGCATCTTAGAACCATTGCCATTTGTGGATTTAATATTATATTCTGAAGATCTCCAAACAATTGTGAAGAAAGTGATGTTTTAATCAAACGTCACATATTGGTTTTATCTTCTTTGTTTTCGGTTGAATTGCAGTGTTGCAAAGGCAACAAAAGAAACTCCCAGGGAATGTTCTTAAAGAGTCACTGCCATTACAGTATTACTAAACCTTTGAAAAATCAAAATTGTTCCAAAGATTTAGAGGCAAACTTTGCTTTTTTCTTTCAATTTCTCAGAAATACTGATGATAAATGGGTTCAGCTTTCTGCTCCGTGCCACTTGATATTGTACCCGTTCTATGCAAATTGGCTTTGTGCCATCAATTTGCGGTGTGTTAAATATTGAAATTCAAATGTTGCCATAGCCGTAAAACATCAGCAGCCATTATTAAAGGAGGTCCGCAGCTTTAGCACATTCTATTAATAAGTTTAAATGCAAATTTTCTTTGCTTATTCTGCCCTAACGGGATTTTCTTTTAATTACAGTAGATTTATGAGGAATTGATTCCCTCTGATTCACACAATCCCACCTCCCTTACACCCTACCTCTGGCTCAGTCAAAGTGGCAGATGCGAACAGAAACCTAGCACATTTGTCAATGTGTCACTGACTGCCAGAGAAACAGAGTCAGGCTGCAGATGATCAGAAACGTCCTGTGATAGTCCCCTCATCGTGCCCAGTTTGAAATTTGGAGTCCTTGTATGGACCGCTTGTAATTACTTTTTCAAAAACATATTTTATTTGGTAGATTGTCAGTGCTGATTTCAGTGATTTTATCTCTTAACAATGCTAATATAGAATCCTGCTTTTTGATGCACATTATTAAAGATCACTGTGTTTCTGTATTACTGTATAAACAGCACTATAATTCATGCCCCTAATCTCTTCTTTCAGAATAATAGCATTATTAGACAGAATTGCATACTTCA